CCATGAGGAGGAGGGAGGGAGCGGTGGGTGCCACACCTCCAACACTGCCACAACCGTGGAATTTGCCTGCAGGTCCCATGTCTTGTGTACTCACTTGTTGATACAGTCAGATACCACCTTCTGGAACGTTCTCTCCTGGCACACCCCTTCCCTTTGGCTGGGTTGCTAGATTATTCTTTCAGGGCGCTTGCTACTACCCTGTACCAGTCTTGTCGCATTCATTTGGCAGATCACGTCTCAACTGCAGAGTTCGTGAAATGATACCCAGTGTTATTTATTCAACTTGTAGTCAACGGGGGAAAAAATCCAGGGAAAAACATTTATTTCTTCCAGTCTAATATGGACATGTTGGATGTGTTTTAAAGACCATGATGTTGGCTGGGGGAGTGGGTTGGTGGTAGGGTGAGGTCCTGGGTTTCACCCCCAGCAATGTAATAATAATAATAATAATAATAATACACCATGAAATTCAGAAAATGCTTAATGATAGCATGATGCTTTCTGTCCTCTGAAGATAGAGGGTAAGGAGTCTGTAGAAAGATGACTTGTCACTCCCTGATTTGAAGGGCTCAATTTGTTGTGTGTGAATGGGGTCTAGACTCTTCTATATATTTTTGATAGTGTATAGTTTGAGTAAAGCAAACTGTGACTCATGTCAGTGTTTGCTTAATCTGGGTTTTGTTAAAGTGAGCCAGATCAGGCACAATGGGGCCTGGGCCCTTTCTGGGGTGTGCGTGACGCATGAGTGTGGGTCTCTGAGGCCACCACCCTGGGTAAGCACGGGGCAGAAGGCAGCCTGTGAAGTAGGTGAGTGGGGGCACATGAGAGGCCACGTCCCAGACTCCAGCCAGAGAGCAAATCAAAGCAGGAAACAGCAAAGGCACCAGGCAGAGCCACCATCCCAGAGCTGGTTTCCTCCTACGGCTTTCAGTACAAGCGTCAAACAAGGCCACAATATCCGAGCTGCGGTGCTTACATCACTAAAACCAAGTTAGGCTTCTATGTCTAGCAGATGTCACAACTGGGGCTCCCCCCCACCCCTTTTTAATAAAAATCTGAAGCCATTTTAAGTATGCATCCAAATGCAGGCAACTGCCCTCAGAATGCTGCTGGTCACAGCCGCTGGGGAAGAAGGACATTTCCAGGATGGCCACCGGGAGACTAGGACGTTGGGTGGGAGCTGTCCTTTTGCCCTGGCCCTTTGCCAAGAGGTCTGCCAGGCCTAGCTGGGTAGAGAACTCTACAGGCGCTTTCAAGATGGGGCTATCCCTCTTGTCCTCTAACCCTTGGGTGTTTTGTCCCCAAGTTACTTGGCCTGCAATCTGAGACAACTGCCTTTTCATGTTTTATACATTTTTATTCATACATTTCTCCAACTTTGAAATGACAAAAGCCCAATTCTGTGGTTTCCCATTACACAGCATCCTACAGGTATGCATATTCTACAAAGAGTACTATGGGGTTTTCCTCCTCCCCTGTCACACGCGATAACTGGTTAGGGTTTCACTTGAACCGTGCCGGCCGCGGACCGCACCAGCATGTGGCTGTGACAGGGCAAAGGGGTCGGGACGGGAGGGCGTGTGCTAAGGCATGTCAATAGATACACACAGAGAGAAAGAAAAGCAGGACATTTACAGAGAATCCGAACCTTTCCAACCCCTTCAGCTCCTCTTGCAAGCTAAGGCTTTGTGTCTCCTGCGAATACTTACAATCGGATACGGGGAAATATACAACAACCATTAACATCTCTCTCTTTTTATCACTGAGACAATACTTCAAAACCTTTTATAAAAAGGCAATAATACATACAGAAAAAAGAACACGTTGGCAAAACTTTATGCAAAACCACCCCAGAACTGAGTCTGAATGGCGGCGCACCTACGCCGCAAGGAAACAAGGTGCTCTGGTCTCTGCGCCACCGGTCTACACAGAGGGCAGTGCCCTCAATTCTTGCTCACTGTGGAGGGCCTATTTCTACTTCCAAGCACAAGTCCCTTTTCAGAGACTGTCCTGGGTCCAGGGCTGGTCTCCCCCAGGCTTCCATAGGTGAGAACAGTGGCATGCTCCCTTGGTCACACACCAGAGAGAATGGAACTCGCTTTAAGCGGTAGCAAAGCTGAGTTTCTGCACGTGTATCGATGGGGTTGTGCTTGGGGCCAGAAACGAGGTCTCTTTCCATTTTCTTTTGCTCCGTCCATTTGCACAGGTTCAAGGGAGTTGATGGAGGGTAAGGTGAAGGTGGTGGGAACTCAGGATCCTCCCTGTTCCCCAAGAACTAATACTTGGGGGTGTCTGCCCTAGAGATGGTGCTCCCTTCTTCCCACTGCTGTTGCTGGGGGCCACGCGTGCCCACCTGCACAAAAGCAACAGGGAAAAGACCAGTTGAGAAAATGGCAGAACCATCTCGTCTCCTTTCTCCCACTTCCTGGATGGATGTGACAGCTGAACTTCACTTGCTAAGTTGGGCCATGTGAGACTTCCCACATCTCCAAGTTTAAGGCAAACAGAGGTGCCATGCATCAAGCCTCACGAGTATGGTCTTGTAGCCAGAGATACCAAGCAGAGAGGCCAACCCTATTTCTGAAGGGCCCAGAAAAAGGCAAAGTCTTTTCAAATGGAAAGAGCGATGATAGCAGTGAGAAGCAGGGTCTCTTAAGAAAGGAATTAATCAGAGGCGCAAAACCAGAGAGTGCGCCCAGGGGCCTTCAGCCCACTGGCCCCCCTGAGCCTCAGGATTGCAAGCCCTTGGCAAGAAGATGGACTTAGGAGGCTGTGTTCAGTTTTGAAAAACGAAAACTACGGCACACCCACCAGTTTGCTGATAGGAAACTAGGAGGGATGAGGGCTGCGAAGGGCTTATGGGAATGTTCACTGCAGTGTGCTCTCTCCTCTTTTCAAGGAGTCATTTTTATTAAGAATTTACTAAGCAAGCAGTTTTCTCTGTAGCGTTAGAAACTGAGCTGAAATGATGACATCCCATCAGTGGGAGACCAGAGCGTGCTTTGGGCCGCCTTGCCCTTAAAGGGCAATTTCTACTCTGGGCGTCTCCACCATCCAGTTTCTTGGAGGGTAGCTCAAGTGACTAAACTTTTGCAAGGAATGAACTGGAAAACTTACTGAAGAGACACCTACCTACAAGTGATGTAAAAACAAGAGCTCTGAGATCAAAGGCTTGAAAAAGATAATATAATACAGCTTCAAAGGAAGGCTTGGCCTGCCTGGCCAGCTCCAGCAGCAGGAGAAGGAACTGGACATAGGGAAGGGAATGCTTCCTGCATTTCTCCCTGTGGTGGGGAACTCTGCACATCTTCAGATATTCTGCCATCAAGAGGATGGGCTGAGACTATGCCTTCTGAATGCAAATAGAAAGAAGTAGGCCAACCATTTCTTTGCCTTTCTGAGCAGATATTTTAAACCATCTCACCTGACAGGAGATACATTTAATTGCATTTAAAAAAGCTACAGTTATCTTAACACTGGAAAACTTCCAGATGAATTAAATTGAGTGACATTTTCCTTTTGCGTTAACATGGAATATCCTCTCTGTGCAAAGCAATTACTGCCTTATGATTAGAAAAATCAGGACACTTTGTCTTCTTAACAAAGAACTCAAGCAACCAAAACACTGGCTTTCCTGCCAGCGGAGGGGGGTCGGAGTGGAGGAGACCTTCAACATGGCTCTCCAGTGTTACAGTTGATCACTTATAAGATTTAGTAATCTAATCATTTGCTCTGGTCTTTCAAAGGAAAAAAAATGGTTCTGCTGAGGGAATGGAAGCAGGAAAGAATCTTTTAGAAATTTCCTCTGATTGCTTCGACAATTTTAAGGTAGCAGCAATGTACTAAAACTACTCTGACTTCAGAAACTTAAGTATGATCTACTCGGTCATAAAGTCAGTGCTCAAGAGAAGACACGTACCAGTGGAATGGAACATGTGTGCTTGTGAGAAGAGAGGACAAGCGCCAGGTGCCACAGTGCCTCTCCATCCTGGGGCCACAGGCATCGGAGATGGCTTTGCTTTTCTCCTCCTCTGCGCAGTCCACCTTTGTGAACATGGTGGATAGCTCTAGAAGAAACACCTCCAAGGCAAGTGAGGGGTGTGAGGACTTCTACCAGAGGGAGGGACCTTTCTGTTCCCCACGTGTTAGTTGTATTCTTTGTGCTTCACTGGAAAAGAGGTAGAGCGGGGACTGTGATAGAGAGGAGCCAGCCTTGGCCAGTAGGCAGTGCAGGGATGACTGACCGAGATTAGTCCTAATAGCCCTGAGCAACTCAGGGTGCTTCTCTGTCCATCAGGGCGAGGCCATGATAGAGCTTGTCTCTGGTGTGGCTGTCTGGTTACTCCACTGTGGGGCCTAAATTCAAATAGTTCACTCAATACCTTGCTAGTAAGTTACAGAACCATGTGGTCACTGACCAGGCAGGTATGAGAAAGAACCAATCAGCGTCGTTTAGGAGGGGAGGGGTGGGTGTGGAGCAGGTAAGAGGAGGGTATAAGAATGCCCTTGTTCCGCCCCTTGAGTTCAGAGCACACTCTGCACATCCTGCCATGGCACAAAGTGCCACAAGAAGCAAAAGCGACAGTGTGTTCTCAAGGATTCCAGGTCAATGTAAGCCCCTCACACTCTCACATGCTAAGGAAAACATTTTACTGACCTCTGACAAAGACTCTGGAAGCCTGCCGGAGCCTCTTGTATTGGAAGAATGTGACCTCATGGCAGGGGGATGAGATGGTGACTGTCTCTACAGCAACAAGGACAGATGATTCCCCTGTGCCAAGGGATATAGCAAGAGGAAGGAGAGACCACAGTGGCCCTGTGAGTTGGACGTGGTCCAAGCTGTGCCCTAGCAGGCTGCTTTGTCACCCTGCCAACTGATACTCACTCCTGGGCCTTGGATGGGTCCATGAGCATCCAATGAATTATAAAATCGAAAAGATTATTGGCTTGGAAACCTAAACCAATCTATAGCGAAATGAAGGACCAAAAGGCATTGAATTATTGAACACATAAAAGGAAGTATATTTAAAAAAAATTGGTCAGACTGTCCTGTTAGTTATCATTTTTTAAGGAATTTACAGGGCTGTTTTAGATTATTCTTTTGGAATAATTCAGTTTATAGCAAACGCCTAAACTGGTTTCTTCATTGCACAGTATTTTCTCTTAAAATGGGTGTTTTAAAACAATTACACACAGATTAAAAATCCTCATTTCTTTGCTTAATTAAAACGTTAATACTCTTAGACAACACAGATCTGAAATGGTGAAACCAGCAATTCCCCCTCCCACCTTACAACAAATTAAATTGAGACAAAATTACAAACACATTTCACTACATGATTATTAATAAAAATCAGTTTCTTTTTTTTTTTTTTATAAAGTTGCCCGAAATGCAAGGGATGTGCATAGGTTTACAACTTAGTCATAATAGCATTTTATTCTTATTCCCCTGGGTGTGCCCCGTGAACGGAATGTACTTTGCTGTAGATTACAGATTGATTTGTCCAACACAGACACACCGACAGCATAAACGCTCGCGACTGTCCACATGCATTAAGAGTCAAGACCCAACTTCAAATCTCTAAAAGGTTTACAGGGTGCTTCAAAGAGACAGTATCACGTTATCTGGATGTTACATAAAGGACTTAAAAAAAATACTATTCTAAAAAAAAAAGAGAGAGAGAGAGAAAAAAGGCCTTTAAAAATTTATGACTGTTTTGTAATCACTAGACTAATTATTTCAAATAAATAAAGGAAAGAAAGATACTCCAATCCATAAAATCAGACTCTAAAAAGAATGTAGTGTTCCACCCCCAGTCAAGGTAACAGAATCATTGTTTATTATTATTAAAATAGATTATAGAAAGCAGCATCTATTTTGTGCAGTTTTTAGGGGCCTTGGAAATAAAAAGCTATGATTTCCAAAAATATAACATTCCAAAGGATTGAATAATACATACATTTAAAGATACATTTTATTAAAGTTTAGGAGAACTGATTAAAAAAGATACTGTCTCTTTAAATTAGTGTGTAATTGTTTTTCTCCTCCTATCTATTTGGACATGACAATAATTATAAATGTAGGTCACACTACAAACTAGGTAGTCTCTAGGGACCACGACCTGCTGACCCAAGGTCGATAACAAAGAGGCTTTTTCATGTATGAGGTGGCTCCCAGTTATGCTCAGATATCTGGGAAGAGGCCTAATAGACCCAGGAGACCGGGACCCACTGCGGGGCTGTGCACACGAGCTCAACAGCTTCCTCCAGATGTCTGATTGTCTCATCAATTTCATTGTTGATAATTGTGAGATCGAAGTAGTGTGCATATGTTCTCTGTAAGATATCCGATTCCTTCTGCAGGCGCTGGAGAGATTCATCCTACATGGGGGTGGCATGGAGTGGGGTGGGCACAGGGGAAGGGAAAAACAAACAGAAGAGAGAAGTCAGCTGGATTCTTTGTCTTTCCCCATTTCTGTTTGTCCCAGTGTCAGAAGTGGTCAAGGTCACACCTTGACATGCCACATGTGGACATTAGGCCAAGGCGGCTCTGTGACAAAGGAGACAGATGACCTGGTGATGGCAGGGTTGCAGAACTCCTGCTGGTAACTGTGACCACTTGACATGCAATAGGGAGCTCCATGACAAACGAACAGAACAGACACACCAGCAAACACACGGCTCCCACGCAGGCCTAGCTGTGCCTGTCCCCAGAGCCAGTCAGGGTGAGGCCACGCGAGGTGTGGGTTTCCAGTGACTGCAGTTTTTGACTCATTCCTCTAAGCCAGGCCAGAAAGGAGCCACCCTCCCTCCCACTTGGCAGGAGGGCTACAATGGCAAGGCCCGAGCTGTTGGTCCCCTCCCTGGGGCCAAGATGCATTTCCATCAATACGCCCCTGCCTTTGGACAACAAATTAAATTGTATTTTTCCCTTTTCTACTTAAAGGCTCAACATGTTCCAGGAATTCAATGACAAAGAATGGCTCTCGCTCAATAGCAGGGCATGCCAGAGGCAAAAGCTTTTTGAGTGTTAGAAATAATAGCTGGAATAAGGCCACTTCCCAAACACAAACAGCAACTGGCAGCCAGGAATTCCCCCAAATCCGTCTGCCTTGGAAACTGCCAAATGGCCCTGTCCGCACCTTTCCTATTTCCTGTGACAACAACTGGGAAGGAAGAGAAGCTGCTGAACTCTAGGGAGTTTCGCTCTGGAAGAGGCTGTTCCCTAAACCATAGCTCACTAAACTGGGACAATGCTTCCTAGGGAGAGCTGACAGTACGAGGGAATTTGGCGTCCCAAATTCGTCCTGTGAATGTTGCTTTTCACCAGCAGTTCTTTCAAGGTGGGAGGCTCTTAAGCGCCCTGGAAAGAAGCCCGCCCCTACATCGTCATGTGTCAAGTTCATTACATTGAACTCTCAAAGGCCAAATTCAAATGGGAAACTGGAAAACTTCGGTAGTTAAATCAACCACCTCCTTTCCCTTTGTACCTACCAAACACTAGGTAGGTGAACTAGTGGCCTGAGTCTGAAGTGTGTGTGTGTGTGTGTCTGGACAGGGGTCTCATTACATAGCCTAGGCTGGCCTAGAGATGAGTCTTAATTAGCTGTTTATTCAATTAGTAGCCTTCTCTCCAGCGAGGGTGTAAACTTGTCTTGTGTGCCCTGACACTGCTGTGCCCCAGCCAGAGGCAAGGTGCCTTGCACACAGGAAGTGCTTAACAAATGCTGTTGAAAACACAAGCACTTGGCTGGCTGATACTGGTTACTAAAGGTTTTATAGGTATTAAATCTATAATCAAGAGACTGGGCAATTCTACTAGGAAATAGGGACCCAAGGTGATGGACAGATCTTCAGAGAAAATAAAAGCCACAATGCTTTCAGGCACCTGCGCACACTGAGGACCCTTCCTCCTCTGATGCCCTCGGTTACTGGAGCATCTTGGAAGGGAAATGAAGAGACTCACTTGAATCTATCCCAGCCTTGCAGTGGGGACAGGCAGACACGAGTGGTCAGGAAATAATCCTTTCTATTAGGACACTCTGACCTGTGAACATCCTACCTGTCTTGTCATCTTTTATAGGAATTTCAAAGGACATGGCATGCTTTGAATGTCAGTGTGAACTACCGCAGTGTCAGCAAGACCTCAGGTACTACTTACCTTCTGAGGTCCTGTGTACACACATTCTGCTTGCACTTAAAATGCACAGTATTTGTCGTTCTCATTCTCACTCTATGCAGGACCCACTTTCAGTCTACTGAAGGTGAGTTCCGTTTCTAATAAACTTTGCTATCACTTTCACTACAGAAAAGCATAGTATTTTCACTGTGGCTGGACTTCACAATAATCACAGGGTAAAATCCCCTTTGAGAAAGGGAGCATCCACCCAAGGATGGGAGGGCTTCCTATCAGCGCAAGAAGGCACACTTCCTGTGAGGTCACTCTCTGAGCTATGAGGTTCTATTCGGTACAGTCTTGGGCTTCAAAAACCACTAGCAGAGTGTATGATTTGCTCAGAAAGCTGGGCTGATGAAACCATTCAGGGAAATTTAGATCTGAGACTGTCAAATTTGTGATGTAGTTCTCTTTACAGAAAAACAAATCTCCCGCTTAGGGCTCTTAGAAGATGAAGTTGGATTTATCAGTTTACTCCTCCGCAACGGCTTGTTTGTGTGCTCCACTCACATGTAAGCAGGGTTTAACTCAGTGAAAACAAAATGCCTTTATTCTAACAGCAAAAGCAAGGGTTTGTGGGAACAAAGTGTCTACATTCTACATCCATTAAAAGAACAAGGCTGTATTTCATCACCTCCTAGCTGGTACTTACAGGCAATTTTCTGCACCATTTTGGCAGCTATGGAAAATTAGCAAAAGGGCAGGAAAACAGGCAAAACAAAAACAAAGCAAAGATGATAATTCAAGAAAAATACATGGTAACCAAAGGATAAAAGCTAACCACAATATGGAGTTTCAAACATGCTATATATTAAGACGGAAAAGTAGAATTTTACAAAGGAATGTGCCTTTTGCAAATGAAATGATGAAAAGCAATGATAAAAATATGAGTAATATTAAACATTCAACCGTCCTTAGAGGTACAGAGTGAGAATTCCCGAGTCTTGATTTAACTATACTACGAGTTTAGGTCAGTGTTTACCTAACACAGTCAAGAGTTCTCTGAGGGTTTCCAGACCTGAGAAAGTAACGGTCTTCAGGATACCTTTGCATATGAGTCACCTTCTAACTAAGGACCCGACAGCAGGGAGGTGTCATCACACTGGCCAGACATATGATGCTGCCCTTATCTGACCAGCAATAGAGTCTCTGAGGGCTTGGGAAGACACAGGGCAGCCAACTCTTGCAGGCACCAGCTCTCTGCCAGCTTCTGACTTAAGTTGGTTTAAGAACAAACAAAGCCTATCTCTCTCTCTTTCCCTCCTCCCTCCCTTCCTTCCTTCCTTTTCTTTCTTTTCCGGTGCTAGAGATGGAACCTAGGGTCTTATGCATGCTAGGCAAGCTCCACCAATGAGTTCTGCCCTCAGCCCAGTGGAGATCATTTCTAGGTTCAGTACTCTCCAGGGGCCCATACAGAAGGGAGAACATGGGAAGCCCAGCCACCATCATGGATTCCTTAGAGCTCTCTTCAGGGAAGGCAGTTCTTGGCCCAGAGCTGGGCCTGGGCGCTGCTACTGTCTTAGCACAATCCTCTCTAGAGATGGAGTGGGCCGATAGCCCTGGAGGGTGGGGGAATACCTGGGATGCCTGTGACCCGCAGGGCTGAGAAGCCTTACCCTTGGACTTTACAAGTAGACTTATTGATAAGGCCTCAGGCTGACCCACAAAGCATTCTATTCCACATCCTGTATCCCCAGAGCAGCCTTCTGTAGCAAATGTGGGCTGACATGCTTCAGGCTGTGTTTGGGAGGAAGGCTGGAGTTTGCCTAATGATTCTGATCTTAAAAGAACCACACTGCTTCTGTTGCCTAATTCTGAATACTGAAAGAGGACCTGGTGCTCTGGAAATCAGACTTCCCAGCATCAAGGACAAAACAGAGCTTTGCTTAGTTGTCTTAGAGAGATGGGGGCCGGCCTCTCTCTCTTTTTTTTTTTTTGGTGGGTACTGGGGTTTGAACCCAGGGCCTTGAGCTTGCTAGGCAGGCACTCTACCACTTGAGCCACATCCCCTCAACCCTTTTTGCTTTAGTTATTTTTCAGATAGGGTCTGGCATTCCCCCCTCCACCCTTGGTCTTTGATCCTCTTATCTCCACTTCCCAAGTAGCTAAGATTACAGGACTGCACCACCATACCACCATACTTTGCCTTGGGCCTTTGGTTTTGAGTGTACAACATACATGTATTGTAACCACAGCTCTTGCTTATTTGGGGAAAAATGGATTTGTTCTTACCTCATTTAAACCTGGAGTGATAGTTGGTGCGGCAATGAAAACAACAAAAGGAGCAAACTCTGCAGTTCTCAGGACCTTCAGGGCCTGTGTGGGAAAGGAAAAAAAAAAGACTTAAAAGAAGAAATAACTGATATAACTTCCAAATGATTCTATAAAAATTTGACATGACTGAAAAAGTCAAGCCCTTCATTCAAATTTTTGTAAAGATATTATTAAATGTACCAACTTTATAAGTAAAATACATTACTTTTCTTCTAGAGGATGGACGAGTCTTCAGAAGATAAAAGTTGACAAATTGGGCATTTTTCTTTGTGAGTCTCACAAATCAATAAGATTTATTTTTCTTCATAAAAATTAACACTGACTATGTTGGTTAGTGTTCATTTAAACCTGACTATTAGTTGGAGCTTGAATTTTAATAGATGGGAGATGCATTTTGGGAGAGATTTGGACCTGCATGCTGGCTTCCGCACTGATTGGAAGCCTGCTTTGTCACATTTTGAACTGTAATTTGCTAACCAAGGATAGCAAATTCTGGCCACTGTAACTGTGTGGGGTATTAATCAAAGCCTTGGGAGTTGCCTGATAATAGGTTCCTGTTAGTCATGGGAAAGGGGGCCCTTGCCCAGGGCTAGAGTCATAAGGTCCTAGGCTTTTGTTTTAGTCCTGCTACTAAAGACACTGTGTGGTTGTAGGCAATGCATTGGCAAGAAAATGAAGCATTCAAGGGTGAAGATGTTCTGGGGCCCTTTTCACTTCCCTTCCAAGGCTTGGCAAAACTTTTCCTGTGCAAGTTGCTACTTTGCATAGATGGACTGCAAAGTTGCAGTCTGATGGACAGTAGCTGATTCTGCTGAAGGACCATTGCTCCAGCTCCTCGCCTGGGAGGACATTACTGTCTTGGAGGTTAGAAAAGCCCCTCCAACGACAAACACATCTAGGTACCCAATTCACAAGTGACTGACATGTAAGTCATCTTGCTGCTTTTTACACAAGAGTTTAACACATCTATTTTGTTACCTATACATTTTGCTTTTGAAAGTAGTTTGCTCTCCCCTACCCCTATGACTCCATCTTTGCCTGGTTTATCAGAATAACAGTTAGTTTACTTCCCTGCCTCCAGTTTTGCAACCCACACTCCACCAGTCTATCAGAATGATCTTTTTGAAATGCAAATCCCTTGGTTTCCCAGATAAAAACCCTCCGACAGCTCCCTCTTCCCCTTAGGATAAAAATATACTGCTTACCATGAAGGTCAGCCTCACAAACTGGCCCATGCTTAATCTTGTCAGTCTCCCTCTGCTACCTCTTCTGGACTGGCCCTATGGAAGGACTTTCATTTCCAGAAAGGGCCAGACTGTTTCTGACTTCCTGGCCTTTTTACTTACTGCTTCCTCCGCCTGAACTCCTCCACCCTTCCTGAACCTCCCTCTGTTACCCTCTTCCTCACTGTCTTTTCCACTTGACTGAGTAACCCTTCAGAATTCAGTCCTGATGTTCTTTATTCTGGAAAGTTCTTTGTGAGTCCTGAGCCATCACACTGGAAACCCAAGTTTCTGGGAATTTCTTCTTGTTCAGTTGTCTCTCTCACATCCAACATAGCACCTGCATAAACTGCCTTTATGATCTAATAATGTAAAAACAGTGAATCTAAAATGTACAGAATTTATCTTGTCTTCTGAGGAAGGTTCAATTAGAAAGCCTGCTGTTGTCTTGGCCAAAGGAAATCCTTGGCCTCTTTGAGTATACAAGCATTGTAAGAGACAAGTTTGATATGAAAGGTTCTGATTTTCTTTTTGAGTATAAAAGACTAATTTGCACTAGGATTCTATTTCTGAATTTTGGGTCACACAGTATCTTCTGGTGGGTTGGGGGAATCTGGACCATTGCCATCTGTCCATCAAAGTTCTTTAATTGTTAAAGTCACAGGCTCAGAGTCTCCTTGTAACTGCCAATTTCTTTGACACTTTTTTGTGACTGAAGACTTCAGCAAGGAACAGACATCATGAAAAAGCCCAAAAATAACTCAACTGAGCCGAACAGGAATCTTCACATAGAAATGTCTGCTTTGTCAATATTACCTTGGGCCTTCCTGTGCTCAGGTATCAGGTGAATACAGAGGTCAGCTCAGACATAAGGCTTTCTCATCACTCCCACACCCATGCCCACAGCCAGCTTTGGGGCAACTGAGATGGGGGACAACATCCAACTTGCTTTTGTCTTCGAAGCTTCAAAGTCAGATGGAGGCATACACAGCCTGCATCCTGAATGGAGCCCAAAGAGTGACACCCCAGGTGGGAAATGGTTTCCTTGGCTCAGTGGCCCATTCTGCCAGCTACCCAATCCTTCACATGCTTTCAGTCCTAGCCTACTATCACATTACACCACCAGAAAACACAAGCTTAGCTCTGCACACTCTCCATGTCTGTACTGCGCTGGTGCCCCCAGGCTATATGCACAAACACACGAGGGCCATCCCACACTTACAGTGTGTAACCATCAACGAAGCCTGTTTGTTCATCACATCGCCAAATGCCTCTTGTGTCTAAGAATTTGTTCTATCCCTTCACTCTCCCCAACTTTTTTCTGCCCTGGTTGCCTGGAAGTTCAGAGCCAAATTTAACTTTATCACAGTAAGTGCAGTAGCTCCTGTGGTTAGCATACTTTTTTCTGCCTCCCTTCCATGGCTTTAATTTTCTATTTCTATCCTGTATTATTGTATCTTCCAAAATCCTAAGATGTCTCAAATTCTGACTGCGATTTTCTTGTCTAGTAGGTCTCATCTTCTGTAGAATCACCATCATGAGAGTCTCCTCACTTGTTTCTGCTGTACTATGGGTCTCAAGTAGGTGCCATTTTGGGTACAGTTTCAGCTAGGCTGAGGTTCAGAGTCACTTGACACAGGAAATGGAACTGCTCACAAGGATTCTCCTTCCTCAGGCCATTAATAGTTGAATTAAAGATGAACTCTAAATCTTCTTCCTCTGACTCAAGGTGAGACACAAATTTGTTATAATATTCACAGTCAAATCTCTCTTTCTAAATCAGAGAGAGAGAGAGAGAGAGAGAGAGAGAAAGAGAGAGAGAGAGAGAGTATGCAGGTACATTCTAGAAAGATCACTGAAAACACACTGGATTCAAATAGAGTATCATTAATTTAACAGTTAATTTTTTAGTTCTCCTTTATACATTGATTTTTATGGCTTATCTATGTACAGCAAAGACTTAATCTCAGGTTACCATCTTTAAGGAATAAAAAAATTATTTGACCCAAGTATCTAAGATGTAGATATCTATAAAACTAATTTGGGTTGCAAAGTTAAAAAGTACAGAAGGGCAAGCAGCTGAGTCATTCTGTACAAAAACCTAAGGATTTAAGGAAGAACACAATGACCCCACAGAGGCAATCACAGTTAACACAATGGCCCCTGGCTCTTGTTTTGCTTTTCTTTGGTACTGAGGATGGAATACAGGTCCTCTCCTGCATGCTAAGCAGGTACTCTATCACTGAGCTACACCCCTGGCCCCAGCTCCTGTTTTATTTATTTATTTTTATTATTGTTGTACTGGGGGCACATTGTGACATTTACAAAAGTTCTTACTTGAATTCACCCTCTCCATGATTCTCCTTTATCTCCCCTCCCCCCATTCCTGGAATAGTTTCAACAGGTCTCATTTTTCCATTTTCATCTCGTTTTGAAGTACAGATTCCTAACAAGGCTGGAAGCTACCTCTGGATGACAACCTCTCCCTCTGTGGGTAAAAGAAAACCTACAAATACTCTGATACTGTTAACTTTTCCACACTTTGACCTGATAAATCAGAGTAAAGTTAAAACTAAACCCCTTATGGTAAGTTTTGAGATACATTACTTCCTGAGCTGTAGTCTTATTTCTACGAGAAATGAGCGCTACAGTTTTCCTTAGGTTTCACTGCTTTATAGATTTTTCTAGATGTTTAAAAAATTGGATTTAAATTGTACTACTACATACAAGGTGGACCATGGGTTGTCCAGGGTCACCTCTTCTAGTATGGCACAGTAAAAGGACATTGGGGTTTATGATTGAAAAAACAACAACAACAAAACAAAATCCAACACAGTTCAAGTTTGAACCTCACTTTCAGTTGGCTGTAAAATTTTGGTGGAGTGAGAATTGCATTAAACCCTGGTTTCTTCATCTATGGAAGCAGATACTGATTTCTGTCTCATAGGGTTACAAGGATTGGGTAAAGAATAATAATGCTTGGCAAACTATAGAGCATAATAAGAATACAACCTATTATTATTTTTAAAAGAAGCTAGGATACCAGTTTTTTTTCTAGTTCAATGTCTTTATCCTGGTTCTCTAGGTTTAAAGTTGGACAGCAACGTCTTATCAGATAGTAGTACTAGACAAGGGCTTAATTTCGCATTAACTGTCTGAAATAAATTAAGACGGCACAAAGTGTTAGACCTGCACTAAATGAGCTGAGTGGCAGTGGTAGGTGGTCTTTCAGTGGGCCACGTGTGGGGGAAATGACCTCAGCTGTGGTCGATGGGAGAGGATTAGAAACTAACACTGCAGGCCCTTTCCCTGTTGTGGACAGTTCGGATGTACCAGCTTGTCTTCTTCACTTTATTTTCAAACTGTCCATGAAATACTGTTAATCTAACTTGCGATGGGAAAGGCCTATGGAGAGAAACATCCTAAGGAGAGAACCTCTCTGGAGCATCAAGGCTCTGCCAGAAAGTATGTTGTGCATGGCCACGGGCATTCTGAAAGCAGGATGGGGAGCCCTGAAGAGAGTGGGCAGAGGGCAGAGAGGCCTGAGGGGGAGCTCAATTGGGGAAGATGCTGTGGGCATCCCCGGCTATACTGCCAAACCCAGCATTCAGTGTGAGACCAGGGCTGGACAGGAGTCTAGACTGGGCAGGAGAGCTTGGGACCAGAGTGGTCAACCAGCCCAACAAGAGGAGCAGGCCCTGGGCTGTCCCTGTCCCCAGGTATTGCTGGTCCAAAGAAGCTCAGGCCAAGACCAGGATGCCTAGGACCTACCCTCAAGGGTCAGTGGACCTAAGCATCACAGTTCTGAGAGGCAGGGACACAGGAAGCAGGAAAGAAGAGTGCAGGTAAGCTCATCCAGCAGTCAGGGAAGCAGGGACCAGTGTGCCCGGCTGGGGCGAGGAAGTGCTTGGGACTAAGTGCAGTGGCAAAAGGAACTGCTGAGGATGTCCTGATGAGGCTGAGAGAAGGCTCTCCCACTCAGCAATGCAGAGCAGTGCATGGCTGTGCAAGGGCAAGGGGACAGGGAGAGCTGGGCTACGAGTGGAGCAGCAGCAGCAGCAGCGGTGGTGGCGGTGGAAGGAGCAACAGCAGCAGGTAAGGCAGAAAGCCCTTGGAAGTGGCCTTAGGTAATGCAGAGGGGTCTGAGGAGCCCTGCAGCCAGCATACTGCTAGAGACATTACTACCAGCAGAAAACGACGTTCAGGTGAAGACCAGTGTGGAACCCAAGGAGAGGATGTCGAAGACCAGGACCAGGATTGAGACTTTGCCTCTAGCCACCCCTGGCCAGAAGATTTTTCCAATCCCTAGTAAGGAGGGATTAGTAGTTAAACAAAGATCAATCTACGTCACACATCATCATATTTAGTTCTATATAGGTCCAAGTTAATTGCTAAGTGTTTACTCTATTGTTGCTCTCCTCTCTAGCCCATAACCAGATCCTGTTGTGGTTTCCAAAGCTCCAAGTTCAAGAATCCCATCTGGTGCTGTAAAATGGAAAGGGATGAACCCACTGGCCATGAGTTAGGGTCTTGATGCCCAGAAACTGAGCTGTTAGATCCCAGGTCACATAGACTCTGGTTATGCCAGCTCTGTTCTTGCTCTGGAGGTGGCTAGGGGACCAAGTCTCATGTGGTGGCCCTTCAACAGGGACTTGCCCTGCCTGGGATAGCCACCTGAACCTCTTGATAAAGCAGAGCCTGCTTTAGGGATGCTGGTCTGCCATCTCAGCTGGTGGCGCACTGATCCTATTCTGAGTGATAAGGGATTTGGGGTACAGATCCATTTTAGAAATGTCAGATCCAGGAGTCACAAAGGCACCTGTAACCTCTCTTGATGATGTCTATATTTCTCAAAGTCTTTCTCTGCGCTTTAGGTCCCACGTCTATCTACCTGGTTTCTGCTCAGACATGAAAAAAATAGCTGGTTGGCATTTTTAATTTTTTTTGGTGCTGGAGCTAGAACCCAGGGCTTCATGCATGCCAAGTCCACACCCTACCACTGAACTATATCCTCAGCCCCTATTATGTCAACCTTCAGCTCTCTTTCTCAAGTTTTACAAATCCCATTGCTTCTTGGATAAGCCTTAGTTACTAATAATTTAGTCATCTCTGCATCCATCTCCCCTTTGAGTCCTTCCCAAGTTCTCCATGTGTCTACTAGTGTTAGCTCGGGGTTAGGCAATGTCCTCAGATAAGGAGGTGCCAGAGACTGAGGGCCACCATGGTTCTCCATGCTTGCTCCATCTAACACCTGGGTCTCACTTATGCTTGCTTTCATAAAGCCAGTGCTGTGTTTCACATGCAGGCCCCAGGATCAGTTTCTTGCTGGTATTAACTTAAGATGCCGCCCGATGCTCTGATGGTCCAAGGTGAGCCACACCAAAAGAACCACCAAAAGGGAGCTACTGTAACAGTGAAGTGCCAGTCTCATTCTGAGGTCAGATGACTGTAGCATTTCTGGCAGGCACAGATACAACTAGGTACTTTATTGAGCTTCTGAGGATAATAAGTCACATAAGAGAATAATGTGCTTCTCAAATGCATGCTGCGCGGACTGAGTGAGTCTGGCAACTGGTCAGTTTGCATTCTAGACTGGGAACCTATGCAGTCTTACTCTTGATATTTCCTGTAGCTTATGAAATTACTATGACCCATGACTTTCTGATGGCGTTTTGGATGTCAGAATCTGAATTTATTGGCATGCAGACAGGATGGCGGGGAATCAGGGTGGCTGAGCATTACCTGAGGCTCCACGTCCAGTATTGCAATCAGCCCCTGCTCGTGGATCTTCCGAATAGTCTCCAGTTTTGTCCCGTACATTGCGTCCTCGTGGCTGCCGTACTCCAAGTACTCATTATTTGAGATGTCTTGCATCATTTGATCATGAGATACAAAGTAATAATTCTTTCCATTTTCTTCATCTTTCTTTGGAGGTCTGGTTGTATCTGCAAAGTCGCATGTCACGAGAGATTTAAAAGGCTGAACTAATGAGTTATGCTCCCAGTCGACATACCCAAACTCAATTGCTTTTTAAAAGCTGTGGATTCTTTAACTTGTGTCTCACACCCCCTGTACCCATCCCCAGTAGCTCTGTAGAACCAAATTCTAGAAACCATATTTATCTGTGTACAGCAGCCCACAGCAGTCAATTAATTGTTTGGTGTGGAGAATAGTGCAGAGTTCAGGGAAATTATTTCATCCTTTTATGGGTCACCACAGGAGAAAAACATGAAAAGACCCAAGATTAACATAAATGACTATATATCTTAATGTAGTTGGGTCTTAAGCAGTAGACAGTAAGAAGAATAAAGACAAATAGAAAACTACATATGGTTATTTAAATTTAAATGGACTGCAATGAAATAAAATGAGAAGTTCAGTTCCTTAGTCTCACTATTTCAAGTGTTGAACAGTCACTCATGCCTAATGGGTACTATAACTGGACAGTACAGACACTGAATGCTATCATTATTACAGAAGGTTCTATTGGGTAATGCTCTTGTGAGGTGATAATACCCCCTCACAGGAGAACAATGCTAGAATACAGAAAAAGGCACACCCTATTGCAAACACAATGACCTTAGCAGGGTGTAGACATGATTATTATAGAAGACCTAAGCCAGGAGGTGGCAAACTGGCTCATGGGCCAAAATATGGTCTGTTGTCTTCAGGTTTTATTTGAACATAGTCATGCTTATTTGTTTACATTTTGTCTATGGCTGCTTTCATGCTACAATGTACAGCTGAGTAATTGTGACAGAGACTGTGTAGTCTTTAAAGCTTTAAATGTTTACCACTTGGTCCTTTACAGAAAGGGTTTTCCAACCCTGGACCTGAATATATACTAAAGTATATGACAACAATATGCAAAAAACATGCTTTAGCAAATGTTTTTCCAGACAAGCCAGGAACACTGGTTTTACTTTTTTCTTTCTTTCCTGCCTCCCTTTCTTCTTTTTTCCTCTCTTTCTCTCTGCTCTTTTTCCTTCATTTCTTTCCCTCCCTTCCTCCCTCCCTCCCTCCTTCCCTTCCTCCCTTCCTTCCTTGATAAACATATCCTACTCTTTGCTGTATATGTGGGCCCAAGCCAATGGGGAGCGCCTCCTTTCCTGCTAGACGACCATTACAATTGCCACATCAAAATGTGGACAATTTAAAGAGGAACCCTTTCTCCAGGCACATCAAAACCTGAAGAAATAGCATAGTATATTGATGGTGAACTATCTTCAGTCATTGCAGTAGGTAACTTATGTTATACGCATATCTATGGTGAACTATTTCAGAGATTAGACATGCTTGACATCATCCAAGTTTTGAAACGAAGCTAGTTAGCTGACTATTTGATAACATAGCAGTTCAATAGTTAACTGATAAAGAAACTGAATGTTAGTCAAGCTTGCTGTATTCATGATCTAGATAAAAGGAGAATTAAAAGAATGTTTCAAAGTGTTTTACTAGAAAACCCCAGTAGCACCAATGCAATAATACTTGGTAAACTTTTGTTGTATAAATCAGAGTTTCTGTTATTTGTGCACTCTCTGGGGTACACAAATAACAGAAAATGGCATTGACCTTGCTGCAGGAAGGAGCCAATCTTGACATTTTTCTCCTGTTGCTCTTAAGAATCATTCTCCTTTACTGAGTGTAAAGGGGGACTCTCCGAGGGAAGGTCAGTGGGAGCGTGGAGGGTGAAGGGAGAGGGTATGGGAGGCGAGGAGGATTGAAGTATATTACATATGTATGCATGTAGGTAGCATAATGAAATGTGTGAAATACTGTTTAAAAAGTGGGGTAGGAGAGCTGAGAGGGGGTTAAGACAATATAATAGAGGGAGTGAATTATCTCAGTGAATCCCCTTGTACTGTTAATGTATGCTAAAAAGAAGAAATAACAAATAGAATCTATAAAAATAAAGAATCATTTTGTTTTAGTTCTGCCCACCCTGAAACAAAGCTCTAACTTCTAGGCAGCTTTTGGAATTGGAAATTAAACTTTAGAATAATGATGACAGTAACAGAATGATAGTGGTAAGATGGCTACTACTTATTCACCATCTGCTAAATGCTTCATCCACATGCTCTTGAACCCTCTTTACAACTTGGGATTACTTTATATTATAGTTGAGGAAATGAAGAGGACAAGAAGTTAAGAATATGATATAGAAAGGTAAGGGCAATTAAATATCCTACAGATTTACTTCCTCATAGTAAACAACTGATAGCATACTCCTTGGCTTTTAAAGTGATGTCAACAATTGGGAAACTGAATAAGGGAAATATGGTTGTATCAGAGAAAATGATGCAACTATTAAAACTTATTTTCTGAAGAATAATTCATCAAGGTAATTTTATGACATACTTTGGAAAAATCAGATAACATGCAGAATGGGTGACCCTAAAACTCCAACAAATGTATGGAGAGAAGTCTAGAAGGGTATACAACAAATATTTATGGGACTTATTATTGGGGAGAGGGATTGTTGCTACCTACTTTCTTCATTGTTCCTTTTTTGGATTTTACAAATTTCCTACAGTGAACAGTTACTGCTTTTCTAATCAGAAAAATATGTAAATCACCATGCTAAAAACAGAATTCAAAGAGATTGAGGCACTGCTTACGTGGAATAGGGTATGCAAACCGGTCCGGGTGCTTTGTGATGAGGGTGTTTTTTATGTGTCTTCTCCCAACACCATGTGCACCTATGTTGTTTTTTTTTTTTTTTGAAAAGAACAGAAAAATCAACAACTGTTAATGTTTGCAAATGCTTTGAAGTTGAGAAAAAGTAAGCCTCTTATATAGTCAAACTTACCTAATAAGACTAGTGTTTTCCTTTTGAATGTTGACAGTTTCACTACTTCCTCATATGTGACAAGATCTAATTGGTCAAACACTAAAATGCAAAGATTTAGAAGAAAGGTAAATTTATGGAATGACTATTTCTTGTGTGTAGATTTGAATTTACTGGCAAAACTAAGTTACATTAGGCTTTAATGTTTTTAAAGTATGAATCCAACTTCTGATATATGTCATTTAAGTCATATAGCCTTTAGGGGAAAATTTTTTCACTTTTAAGTCCATGAAAATGCACTTTAGAACCAGGGGCATCCAAAGACATGTTGAGTACATGCATAGAAGTCCGATTCTAAAGGATACTACATTTTTTTCATGCAGTATCCAACAAATCACATGAATTCATTCAAAACCACATGCTGTTCATATTTTTATAGTTCTAAGAAATCAGTAATACTAAAAAGAAAAAGTCCATAGACAGTGACCAACATGAATAGAGCATGAATGTAATTAACATCAACCAAGAAGGGACCAGCTAGATCATTTCCAAAGATGGGTGAGAAACGCACAGCTGACTGGTCTTTAACTTCGTGGTTCTTTTATTGCTTTTTTAGAGTTGATGAAGGAGGCATGCTAGAGTCTTTCAAAGTCAAATTCTGTAGGTATTTCACAAGCTTTTAAATGAACATCTTACAAGTTTTACTGTAACCAAGATATCCATTCAATGGGACGCCTTGGGTTTGTAAGTAGGGGAACATGCTTTCCTGGCCCCCAAACCAGGCCAGCTGTTAAACGGGCTGTGCAATAAATCAGATGGTCAGGATGGAAAGAATCATGAATGAGATTCTGAGCTTGGAAACCGAGAAGAAATACTTTAAAAATATTTTTCTGAAACCTGCCTCTTAACAACACTATTACAAAACCAATCTAAGCAATGTGGGAATGTTTTCTGAGCGAATGACCATTTGTGTTGAAGTGCAATATGGCTGGATTCTCATACACATTTGAAAATTCTCACAAGAAGGTTAAAATTATGCATCTATGTTTCCTGTAACATTTTTTGCATGGTCATGCCCAAATGTTACTAGATATACACTGGTTTCCTCTTAAAAGAATGTTGAGTTAGGCCTGGATTTTAGAGGGATTAGAATAAATTCAATAAAATTAATTTCCTGGTGCAATAAAGGAATCTGGGGCACTTTGATCAATCATTAGGAGAGCTTCTGCTCCAGAAACAATACGGTCAAATGATTGTACTGGCTCAGTCCTTAATGTTTATGATCTACCCAGTAGCAAAGAACCTTACAAGGCAAAATAAGATACTCTGAAATGCAATAGATCAAAGACAAACAAATGAACCAAAAGCAGCATTCTCAAAATATATATAAAAGAAAAACGATATGCTAAGGGTTAGTGCATATTAATGGGTATTTGTGCATTTGTTTTCTTTGGTAATGTGATTCTACAAAGATTGACTAAAAGTCTTAAGAGCATGTTCTCTAGCAACAGCTAAAACTGGAGAAATGTTTTCTGTGTTCAGAATGGCATGCTCCCAAATTAAAATGACATGACACTCTGCAGTAGAGCTGGCTAGTTCTGCTGTAGTGGTAATGGAATGATGAGAGTTGCAAAATTAAAGGAGTGCTTATGGCATCACTATTGCCTGCTGAGTGATAGCTCTATCAAGAAAAAGTATGCTTATGAAAGAACTGTATTAGCAAGCTGATCTGTAAAAATAATCGAGCATCTCATGAAAGAGCAAGATGATGATGACATGAGCTTTCTGAATGGTACACGCTGCCCTCTCCCCTTACAGAGCCCTAATTTCCAGTCCTGCTCAATTAAGATTTGTCATTAAAAAAAAAACACGTACGAGTGAGTTAGATATCAACAATCAACACCACAAACAAATGAACAGATATGTTAAACATCAGTATCTTAACCATGAATGAGTAGCATGAAGAGGTTACTCTAGTCTAAATAAAATTACCACGTGGTCACAAGGATTTTTTAAAATAAAGAGATACACGGAATATTAGGAGAGCACTTAAAGACTGAACTTTTAAAGGTTTTAAGTTGCTTGCTGATTAAAAAAAGGACTTAATAAAATGAAACCATCAAAAACACAGAGGCAAAGTCATTCAACAGGTTACTTACATGCACAGAGGCCATTGGGAGTGAGACAGCATGAAAAATGTACAGGGGTCATTGAAATATGGCTTTTCATATATTAGTAAAATAAAAGTATAATATGCACAAAATAAACTTTATCATGCAATATTCTAAACACAAGGCAAATAAATCACATTAAGAAACAAACTCATTTTAATAAAAATTCAATCATATCCTTATATAAAAGCCAGTGGATTTTATATACCAGCATATGTGTAGAAATTTTCTGTGGGAACTTATAAGAAACCCTCTTCAGAGAGTATAGATGTGGGAGCCTCTTACTATTCACTTTGTGCCTTCCTGTACTGCTTACAATTTCTAATCATGTGTGTCTATTACTTTTGTTATTATTATTATTATATTTAGCAGTGCAGCAAATGGAACCCAGAGCCTTGAGCATGCTAGGCAAGTGCTCTACCTCTAAGCTACTCAGCCTTGCTTGTATTATTAAAAAAAAAATGCTAACAGGACAGTGAGGTTATGGACCACTTTTTGCCTTCAGCATTCTTTGTGCTCAAGAAGGAAAGAAAAGGATAGCTTTTAAAAATATCAACTACTAATTTTCAATATTAAACATAATTTAAACATACCACAAATGTATTATAGAGATCCTCTGAGTTCATATGTGTGTATATAAATAGAGTATTTAAGGAAATTTAAGTATCACTACTCAGGGTTCTAACAGTTAAAACAGTGAATTAATGAAGATTTTCTAATTTTTAAAAAAGTTTAAACTCATATCTTGAACTAAAACTGACTTTTGGAAGTCCTGGGCTGAGGAATCTCAATGCCTCAAGTTACAGTTCTTCTAGCAGTGTGACAATGCTTTTTGTACCAAATGCATGTGGCTAAAAATATTTTATGCATTGCAGAAAATGTATTTGCTATAAATACTACACACACCACAATCAAATCTATTCCCAAGGATTCAGAAATATTGTCTGGCATAGTTTGTTTCTATTTCTCCGATTTTCTGGTAAGCTACTCAATATTCCAGCATTCTAGACATTTCTTTCTTTCTTTCTTTTTTTTTTTTGTGGGACTGGGGTTTGAACTCAGGACTTTGCACTTGCAAAGCAGGAACTCTACAGCTTGAGCCACACCTTCAGTCTGTTTTTCTCTGATTATTTTGTAGATGGGGGTCTTGCAAACTATTTGCCTGGGCTGGTCTCCAACCTCAGTCCTCCCGATCTCAGTCTTCCAAGTAGCTAGGATTATAGGCATGTGCCACTGGTGCCCAGCTCGAGATGCTTCTTTTAAGACTTAGGTAACTACTTTCTAGTTGAATCTTTTCCACAAAACATCTGTTAATACTGAACATTTGTCTTTGTTTGAAAAGCTGTAAATATCTTCAAATACTGTAAAAAAAAATCTCCAATTAAAAATGGCATTGCACACTGATAGCACAGGGCCAGACATAAACTTAATGCCTACAGTGGCCAGGCAGCTAATATGGTGGAATGAAGTAGGCCAGGCACAAAAAGGGGTGGGTGGGGATGGTGGGTACTGAGAATGAATGTCCATCCAAAAGCGACATCAACAACCCAGAGTCCCTAAGAAAGGAACTGGCTGAGTGGCACTGCATTCCCTGTTCTTCCAAGAGATGTCTGAAATACAGAGTTTTATGTTAAATAACCTGATTTTCAAATATAACTTATAATAAAATTATTTTAAACACTGTGTGTGAGCAAAATTTATTTATGGATCGATTTAGCAAATAGGCAGCCACAAATAGGAACAACCTCAAAATTTGATGAGAAGGTTTAGATCTTGCCATCAATAGATGATGAATTCTCCAAGATTTACAGCAGGAAACAAAACATATGGCCTTTTTCTAATTTACCTAGTACCATGAAGAACAAAATGTATTGTATTTTGTAATCAGCAAGAACAAAGAGAGTATCATTATATTTTAAAATCAACTTCTAAAAAAGCCAGAAATATCCTTCAGAAATAGAGTTGGATCTGTGGCCCTAGAGTCCATTTGGCTCATTTTTGGTATGAATGACTATGATATTTCCAAGTTTTCATAGCATTTGCCTTACCAAAGGAGGTCAATAGCATTTGCTTCTCATACTTTTAGAGCAATTCTTTATATGGGCAATTTTGTATATTAGGATGCAATTTTGTCCTAGCTAAAAGCAGAACGGCTGATAAAATACCCAACTTCCCTTCCTGACAATTTGATCTCTTGTAGGGTAATGGTAAGCAATGGTCCTTCTAGACTTTGTAATAGACAAGATGGAAAAGTTGGCCAATGAAGTGGTAGAAACCTGAAGAGATGGTGACAGAAAGGAATGCGAGGCTTGGTCAGGTAAGTGCATTTCAGAAAGTCCTGGATAAAGCTGGCCATTTTCTTCTGACCAGAGAAACTGAAAGGAGAGCTTACAACCATTTATTTTGTGAGTGAGGGAACCCTAACAATTCTCTTCTGACTAGAGAATCACAGATAAGCCTCCAGTTCTACAAAGAAACTTCAGCAGCTCTGGAAGGATCTTGAAGGAGCTCAGACTTCTTTCAAACGCAGGCTCACAAACAGAGACAAATATAGACAGGTAAACAAGTTCGCAGGTATGATGAGGAAGGCTCTAATCCCCAGAGGAGGCCACTGATTAGGAAAATACTGAAGATAACCAAAGAATTGACCCTTTCACCCTCCTCGCCCTTTCTTCTCTTCGAAGTTTACAAGAACTTAGATAGGTCAGTGATTTGGGATGGGAGGTGTAATGTCAAACCACAGAGAAAGAAGCAATTCTAGTGTAACTTCTACATCAAGGGCAATACCTTTTAACCTTGACAGGCAATGTTTACCAGAGAGCTAGAGCCTGAGACATGGAACAGTCTGAGTACTGAGCTTCATCAAATGACACCCATTTGTAAAGTTCAGTGATGAAAGAACACTAGATCCACTGAATATTAGGCTAAGAAAAACCTTCCTTGAGTGATTCACCTAATTCCATGGTTTGGAAGGTCACAGGAGCCTAAGTGATGTGCCCAAGTTCACGCTTACTCAGGTGTGCACCACCCATTGGGAACCAGAAAACAGGGACGGCTGAAGATCTGTGATGCCTTGGTGCTCAAAGAACAGAAAAAGTGAACTGTGGAGAACACTGGCTGCCAGATTGGATGCTGATTTTTGGGCAAAATTTCTTTTTTGTTGTTGTTGTTTTGAGATAAGGTCTTGCTGTGTAGCCCAGACTGGCCTCTAACTCATAATCCTTCTGCCTCAGCTTCCCAAGTGCTGGAGTCACAGTGTTTACCACCATGCCCAGTGCTGGCAAGACTCTTAAATGACTGATTTCACTTAGTATTTGTCAGCACTTAGAGAGAGATCTAGTTTTCCAATCAACTCGCTTAATTTTCCTCAGTGATGAATTAAAGAGTATAGGCAAATTGAATTCTCATTTCTCCATGCCTTCTATTAGTGAAGTATAAAACTGATGACGTACTGACAGACTTATCCAGTCATTTCTTTGCTTTTCTAAGCTTAAATTAATTTTAGTGTCCTCTATATTTATCCGTCATTTAACACTGCAAAAGTTACAAGTTGAGGTGGACTTTTTTTTTTTTGGTGGTGCCTCTCACATGAACCCAAGGCCTCACACATGCTAGGCAAGTGCTCTACCATTGAGCTACATCCCTAACAGATACATTTTTTATATTTAGGTAATGTTAACACATCTCATGAGCCTTCTAGATTGTGTTAGACTATTAGAAGCAGATAGAAATAAAGGCAACTAAGGAGACTTGGCAATGACTTGCCAACCTCTTGGGGTAAGCACTGCTCTGCTGATACTGCAGTGCAACTTTTAAACAGCACTACTTGAGCACCTACACTTAACAGTTGCTAGATTGTGTTCAGCTAGTCTGCTTTAAATATTTCTTCCCCTTATAAAAAAAAAAGAAAAAGGCCATTATGAAACTAGGGTAGAATATAATCAGAAACAAATGACACATTTTATTGGACATTAAAATGTGGTCCAATGTAATTCATGTGAGGGAAAGACTCCTCATTTAACTGAACCATTTCAACTTAGCACATGTGGACACCCACATTCATTCCACATTATACAGCATTTCAAAAATGCTTACATTTAATTTCTGACTGGGAAAATAGAATTCAGAGTTCCCAAATAACTTTTCCTTATGAACGCTAATGCATGTTAGGGTATTCTACAGAGAAAGAAGCATTTCCTAGTTCTTGGAAAAGTTAATACTGTTGAATTAGGTATGTATGACTGGACTCACTTGACTTTTTTGGTCACATGTTTGATTTTTGGAGTTATTTCTGAAACCTTGGGCTCTCTCGCCAATGTTAGGGCTTTTAATTCCTCAGAAAAAGTTCCTTATGAAAGGAGTCATATTAAAGAGTTATTGAATTTCAGTATGTCACCATGTTTTTTTCTTTTAGTTTAAACCACATCCTGTGAGTGTTCTGGGAACTCTATTGCAGCGATCGATCATGCTTTATGTTCATTTCAGTTTTTAACTAAACAAGTGAACATTGAGACTGAAGTTGAATACAAGCATATATATATGTGTGTGTGTGTGTGTGTGTATATATATATACACACACACACACATATACACATATATACAAACACACTAGTCACAGAGACTGACTAAATCAAGCCGGTATCCATGTCATGTGTGCCTTTTCAAACCAACCACTGAACCATTTATAGCATGTTCTTCTGTGCACCTTGGCCCTTCGATATCTGTCATGGGGCCACATCCAAGGGCCAGGGAGGAGCCAGGAGGGAGGGGTTATCTGCCCAAGGCCAAACCGAGCCAGGGAGGCAAGAATTCTGGGGACTCAGCACATTCCCAAGCTCTTGTTTATTCAGGGGAGGACTTAACATGTTGAGTTCCTTTTGTTCCAGAAGACACTATTTGCAAATAGCATTTTTGTCCTGCAAACTACAGCTGTGTAAAACATCTGATAAATAACCAGTATATGAATTGGAGCTAAGGGCTTCTTAAAGATTTTTCAAACTGATGGACATCTCATCTGGTAGAATGTTTTGGATAGAGAAATCTGAAGGCCAAATGGGAATGTTATATGTTTACTTAGGTCTTGGAGATGTTTAACCCAGTCTCAGAGACAGACGTGCTTTTCCCTACCTGCATTGTGCTTTGCCAAATATTTATCTTTGTACTGCTTCTTTTTCTTGCCAAACCAAGTACAGCTGGCCTGCTGCTCTTGTTTGGTCTTCTCCATGGCAATGCAGGCTACTCGCCTAGTATACAAAGAAGGGAAAAAAACCCCCAAAGGTTAACGTATGGTTCTATGTTGACAAAGGAGAAAAGTTATTCATTTGAAGACTTTACATGAACATACTCATCACAGCCTTTCAAATCACTCACATAAAGGCTGTTCTTTGGTTTTTATGATAATTTCCTGGAAATGGTTTCAAAACATAGGCTTAGGAAGGAACAGCATTGAGTTCCTTGAGCACATGCTAGCTGATAACACAGCCAGAAGTCTAAACATGTGATTGTGAGATTTAGTAGAGGGATCACAGAATTTTGAGTCACAATAGGCCAGGTGTGCATCCTAGCTTTGTCACTCATTCACTCATTGGTATTGAGCACATAAGGTAGGCACTTTTCTGGGAATTTTCCATGTATCAACTCATTTAATCTTTCTAATGACATACAGAATTGTATCACTATTTTTTACAAATGAAGGGACTGAAGGATTGAGAGGTTAAGCAATTTACCTGAAATGACACTGCTAGTGAGCAGGAGAGTGGGGCGCCCAGCTAAGTTCTATTTTTTTTTTTTAAGAATAGTATTATGGTGATGCAGGTGGTATTATATATGATATCAAACAAGTTTTGTTTTGTTTGTGACTGGTCAATAAGAATAGAGTTAATTTTTGTATATTAACTTCGCATCAGTAACCTTGCTAACCTTTCACAGCAATTCTAATTGTTTACTAGATTCCTTTGAATTTCCTATGAGTCACATCATTTGCAATTTTCCCCTTTTCAATAATGTTAATTGTGAGCTTACTGTAGATGTCATCTGTCAGGTTAAGGAGGTTCCCTTCAGTTCATATTTTGAGAGTTTTAGTCATGATTGGATGTTGAATTTTATCAACTGTTTTCTCTGTTCTTATTGATGACTATGTGGATTTTCTTCTTTCCTTTGTCAATACGGAGGCTCAGGTTGATTTATTTTCAAATGTTGAAACAGCCATGTCTTCCCAGTACAACCCCACTAATTCTCAATGTTTTATCCTTTTTAAATATTGCTGGATTTAATTTGCCAGTATTTTACTGAGGACTTTTACATCTGCGCTCATGATGGGTACTGATGTGTAGTTTTCTTAAATTGCCTCTACTTAATTTTGGTATCATAAATGAGTTGGTAGGTATTCTTTTCTATGTTTCTTAAAGAGGTTGTCCTCCGTGTTTCTTACCTTCTCTTTTTTATTAAGGTTTTTATTTATTTTTGGTTGGGCAGAAGACATTTGTTGGGAAATACCACTAACTTTCAGCAATAGCATCAAAGTCAATCTCCACCCATTGTCTACATGGCATACAGAGAATGCTGATGAAGGTTTTGCTCTGGAGATTCTTTGTGTATGAATCAGTGTGTGCTGTGAGCCATAATTACGGCATAGGATCTTTGGAAACATAGACAGAACTAGGGAATTTTTGACAGGTTAAAAGAGACAAAATCCTGGTCTTGTAAAGCTTACCTTATAATGTACAGAGTATCTTATAAAGTGTTTTTAAGCCAAAAACAAAAATAACAAGTTCTCTGTAAAAATTTGTGCAGTCACATGTGGTGTGATGACAGAGGAATGAAACTGACTTTTATCAGCCACTCAGGAAATAAATACTATTGCTTTTAGCTCAGTCAGTGCACGGAAACTGTGTTAGGGTTAAGGTTGACCTGAATGGAAGTTTCAGACACATGTTTAACATTTTATTGGTGACTTGGATGAAGATCTTGTAGGGAATGATAGGGATGACAGATTGAGGGACCCAATACATATCAAAGACTGATGTGCCTACAGTAAGGCATTGGGTCTAAAGACATTGATTTCTCAGCTAGAGGATGTGAAAATGTGACCTGGTAGCAATATATATTTTTTGTTGTTGTTGTTGTTTTTTACAAAGTTTCTGGGTCTGGCTGATAATACTATTTCAAATCTTTCATGTGAATGAATATTGCATGCCCACTTACATTTTAGAGACCAATTCCATGTCCCAACAGAGGGAAACTCTTCTTTCTCCTTAGCCAGGAATGGCTTCCTGTCTGTAACCCCAAAGTCCCACTTAAATCTTAATGCACTCACTGCCCAGGGGGCCTCTTCCTCATTATAACAGTCAGAACCCATTCCTCCCCCTCTCTCTATTTTTTAGAACTTTATTGAGTTTTTGTAAAACTGAACATATTCAAAGTATACAATTTCATCAGTTGTGACATGTGCATGTATCCCATGAAACCATCACCATGCTATCAAGGTAAACATTTTCATTACTCGTGGAAATGCCACATGCCGCTCTGCAATCCCTCCTTCCCTCCACCCCTGTCCCTAGGCAGCCACTGTTGCTATAGATTAGTTTGCATTTTCTAAAAGTTTATATAAATGAAACTCTATGCCATGTCCTCTTTTTTTGGCTGGCTTTTCTACTCAGCAGATGCTTTTGAGTTTCATCTGCATGTATGCATTTATCAGTAGTTCCTTTCTTTTTATTGTTGGGTGGTATTCTATCGTATGGATATCCCATAACTGGCTTTTCCATTCACCTACTGATGAAACCTTTTAAAGGTATTCTAACAGGTGTGTGACCACTGCCATTTTAATTTGCTTACTGATTTTTTTCTCTTGGAAGTTCTCATGGTTCTTTTTCAAATCTGTTATGTCATTAATTTTTTTCCTTCTCCCTAAAGATATTTTTCAAGCTGGGATGGCACCCAGGACCTAGTGCATGCTAGGCATGCTCTCTACCACTGAGCCCCCCGCCTTATTATTGATTTTTAAAAACTCAGTAAGCACATGGTGGAAATATTATGTACTCATGTATGAAAATGGAAAAATGAGTTGGGGGAGAGGGGATAAAGGAGAATGATTGGGGGTGAATTTAACTAAGACATATTGTAAACACTTTTGTAAATGTCACAATGTACCCCAGTACAACAATAATATAATAAGAAAGCAAAAAAAAAGAAAAAAAGAAAAAGAAAAACAACTCAGTAAGCCTTGTTTTAAAATCTTTGTCTTCTAGTTCCAGTATATAAAGTGGGATTGGGTTTGTCTTTGCTATCTGTCATTTCTGTCGGGTCTTGCTTATTTCCTTGTGTGCCTGGTAACTTGAAATTGCTGCTCACTAACCTGGAAAAAGTTTGATTAAGCTGAGGTTATAAGTGTTCTCCAGAGACCTTCTTTTAGTTTATACCAGATATCTGGAACTATTGGTAAGGGAAGAGTAAACTTCAAATCAAGTACACGACTTGAGTTTCCCGACTGTCCCAGGCTAGGTGCACCTGAGTGCTAATCTATTCAAGGTGGACTGGTAGCCACTATTTTTCAGATTATTCCCCATTTACTTTCACCTTTTCCTTTGCTCAGTGATAAGGCAGCATTCTCTACAGTCTCCTGGCTAAAGGAGAATAAGGGTCTGGTTATCTGTTTGTTCTTAATTTGGGGGCATTGCCTTTTGTAGTCCTGACAATATGGAGTGGTGCCCTAACTGATTCTCCATCTTGTTTAGGCCTTAGGTCTTAACATTGGTTCTCTGGCATAGAAGCATTCTGTAAAGAGCAAATGCCCTCCTGGCAAAATGGACTAACTTGGTACTCCGATAGTCTGCTAATCATTCTGATTAAAGGCTCTCATAGAAAAATTGGTCATTGAGTTCACTAGTATCTTTTCAGCTATTCAGTGCTTTCAGGGTCATTTAAAAAAACATATTTTCTGCAGTTCTTTTTATTTATTTATTTATCTTTCTGCAGGAAGATGGATCCAAATAACGCAGTCCATCATTACAGCAAAGAGGAAGTGAATCTGTTTTTTCCATTCCACTTTTCAGGACCCCTCCGGAGGACTCAAGAGTTCTAGATGTTGGTGGGCCATGATTTACACAGATGATCTCACTAAGGATAAGAGGTCTGGAATCTACATAATTATTTTTAATAAATGCCCCATGGCAACATTCAAGAAGATATTTTGTAAAATGTAACTATCAGCCACAGCATAACCATCAAATCACTTAGAAATTGCTTTCCTCCTGCTTATGCTAAATGTTTCTTGAAGATCAGAATGAAAGATGATACCAGATGGCAGTCTGCTGCCTCTCTATTTGGGCCCATGCTTCCTACTGTGTAAAATGATGGCATCTGAAGTCCTCATCCGCTCCAACATTCTAAATTTAAGAATATTTTTGGGAAACATAGGATAGCTGAAAAAGGCAATCAAGCAAAAGAGATTAACTGAAAAAAAGCCCTTAATTAATGAGAATAATGGGTGAAAAAGCAGTTAGAAGTGTCTATGAATTCACTGTCTTTGGTTCCTTTTAACTAGGGTCAAGTATTTTTTTTGGAAGGGGGGCACTGGAAGAATGCCAATTGGCAGGTTGTTATTTTTTGGTACATGAAACAAAACTCAGCTATTAAGATATCCTTTTGCTATATTTCTGATAGATATTGACAAAGGTAAGACCATGCACACATAAACAATATTTCAAGTACACAAATTATAACAAAAACAGCAGAGATAGATTTTACCAAAATATGTACTAATTCTTGTCTCCTTTTCTCTCAGTTAAAAGCAAAGTTAAAAAACCCCGACTGTATTTTTAATTTTTTTGGTTATACTGGGGTTTTGAACTTGGGCACTTGAGCCACACTTCCAGCCCAATTTTCTTTTGGGGTTACCATGGAGTAGAACTCAGGGCAAGTACTCTTATCTCACTTGAGCCATGACCCCAGTTCTGCTATCTGACTTTAGCCTGCTTTTAGAGCTTAAACTTACTACCAGAACAGGCAATCTCTCTTTCTCTCTCTCTTTCTCTCTCTCTCTCTCCCTTCCCCACCTCCAGTGGAATTCAGGGCCTCACCCATGCCAGGTAAGCATCTACTCTGAGCTACCCCAAAGCCCAGAAAGGGCACTTTTAAAGGGCATTCTTTGTGGCAACACAAAGAATGAAGCATATGACTGACTGCCTTTTCTCTCTATGGGTGAAATGTGTTTTTCTCTTTAAATCCCTTGAGTGATACTGAATCAGAGCATTTGAGGGTTTTTGGCTGGTGGTGGGGTAGGATAGGCATAAAAACATACAGAGTGGCAAGGAGAAAGGTATAATCCTAAGAAACCATGGTTCTAAGAGGATTGTAACAGCTTGTGAGAGGAGGGCTCTGCCCATTTGATCTGAGCCTAGTCACTCAACCTCTCTCCAGACCTTCCTTCCCTTACACAGAAAATGCAGATCTAACTCTAACTAGTGTTCCACTAGATGCTGAGGATTGAGAATTCTTGGATGACTGATTTGGATTTTGTTTAGCTAGCAAAGCAAAAAATGTATCAAACAGGTTTTGCAATAGGAAACAATAGGATATTGAACACTGGGTGAGCAGGCCTTCATTTTTAGTATAAAACAATAAAAACATACCATTCCTGAAGTTCAGGAGAAGGAATGAGACCTGCAGTTCCATTTTTGGAGTTTTCCAGTTTACCTTGCCACCAATTGTGATCATCCTTACTAATAATCTGGATGATGTCACCAACTCTGAATCGAATTCCAGCTTCTTTGCAGGGGATGAGGTCATCCTTGGCAGGATCATATTCAAATTGTGCTCTTACATAGATCTATAAAACAGGAGTTTGTAAGAAAGGAGGCCATAGTAATGTGAAGAAAAACAGTGAGTGCTAATGTAATAACTAAACACCAACACTCACAATACAAACAGGACATCGGATGGTGGAAGCCAAAATGGTGCATGGAAATACAGCACAAAAACTTCTACCACTAGAAACAATGTACTACTACCTTTGATGTATACAGGTTCAAAACTTGGCTGTCTTTGTTTGGAAGGAACACTTAAAATACTTGTTTAATAAAAATGAAGATTTCATTTCTGCTTTTAGTATGATAGCATAGGTCTGTAATTACAGAGAAGTACGCCTGCCATTTTTAAAACTTGCATTTGTTGTAGTGACATTATGGATAAGTTGTCATGATCATGTGGCAGCCTTTAAGTCATGAAGACTGGCAGTCAGGGTAAGTTTTAACTTGAAAAAAAGCATATAATATAAAACTAGCAAGAACTCTGGGCTGATATCTTACCATAAAATGCTTACATGACAACTGGCAGTGTATCTACACACTGCTGATAAACTTATATGTAACTCAAACAATTAAAAAAGCACAAAATAGCTTTATTTTAAAAAAAGATTTAGGCTTTGTATTTGTGCTTTACTCTGCTGAGAGACTAAAAATGATTTTGAACACTTGTTTTGCCAATGTGACATTTGAAATCAGTACAGAGCTTCAAGACATGGCCTCAAGGCTCTAAGTTTATGATAAGTGAATTTACTTAAGAAACAGATGAGCACACAAGGGGTTACAATATGGTATCATTTTATGAATGACTGAATTTTAAAATGCTTTAAAATAAAGTACTATATATCCAATGTTGCTTTAATTATGCAGTCTTAAGACTAAACTGGGGGTAAGTTCTATCATAAACTACTTTAGGCAATTCTTAACTCAAAATCAGATTTTTTTAACACCACATTTCAAGAAAAAATCCTATTTCTTGAAATTAAATTTGAGTATTAATGTTTAAGTCACTGTAAAAACAACCTGAAGGCTTTGGAACCATTGTGTGATTTTTCTGTTTATTTTTAGCCATAAAATTAAACCCTGTATTGGCACCTATAATTCATGCTTTAAAAGTGCTGGCAGTTTGAAAGCTACTTGCTAGTGTTAGACAGCACTTAACTTTTCATATTTGAACTAACAATGGGCAAATCAGGATATAAAAGCCAGGGTACTTATGTTCTTTTTCTTATTTTTCAGCATAAATGGCTTTTAGACATACACATGCAAATACAAATTTAAGAAAAAGCCTTCGACTTCAGAAATTGCTTCAAAATGTTCATCACTTTATGCTATTTTTTTTAGAATTCTATGAATTCTGTAGCCTTTAAAATCCACCCTCCTCAGGCAGTCCCATAAGACCCTCAAAGGCTGAATTTTTAGCCATCAGCATAAAATTATCAGGTTGAAATTACAATAACCATGACGGCTACAAAGATGTGAGGGAAAATCTTTATAGAGAATTAGTCATGTATAACGTGTTAAAATGAAATGGTACAAGCTCTCAATGCTCAAATGTTATGGTCCAAAATGCAGACATTATGGGATGGAAAGGGTTAATAAAGGATTGGCTATTAGCAGCTCAATTTAGAGAAGTTTCTATAGAGGATGTCTATTCACCTGTCGTCCTTTTGGTTGGGTAGTTGATGGCAAGTCCTGTAGAATAAAGCCAACCCAGGAGAAAAATTTTCATTTACTTGTCAAGAGTACAAGGAAATTTGTGTGTTCTGTTACAATATGGTTAAAAATGAGCTAGATTTAAGTTGTAAAGAGATCATATACATTATTCCATTTCTCAGAAGTGTTGAGTTATCAAAAAATCAAACCCAGGCCATTTAGCAGCAAGCTGAAGAAAGCAGGTAAGTTGAAGCAGAGAGAAAATGTGTTCTTAAGAAACAACTCAGCATCTTCAACACAAAAGCCACTGCGGGTGAAATAGCCTATTACAAAAACCCCCAGAATGAAAAGGAGCTGCTGCCTTTTTCAATGAAGTCACTGCAACCCCTTAGATTTTGAAAAATTCAATGGCTCTATGGATTTTCATCATCTTAAAAGCATTACATGTTAACTGGCATAAATGAATTCCTTTGGTAACCTATTTTAAAGTTGGAAATAAAGTTGTGGACAATTTTCTTACAGAATTTCTCTTACTGATATACTTAGAATATTATTCCAGTTGAGATATCTCTAAATTATTTATAATTTCCTTTGATAAAAAAGCTGATATATATTTACAGCGCCAATGAAAAGGCAGGAAAAAAGCAATACTGCTGCATTCTTAGAACTCTTGATCACTGCAACTGGGTGACAGCAGCCTCAGCAACTCTGAGAAGATTTGGTTGTCCCAAAAGATTACAAGCCTGCACCTGTAAGTGCTTCTATTTGTTTAAATAATTCTTTCTATAGTCCAAAAAGTGGATAATTCTGGAAACATGGAAAATTTCCAAGTTCCAGTTAAATATAAAGTACTTTGTGTTAAAGATGTGATACCAGCGTGGCTTAAGTGCAGGTGGAAGCCAGTTCCTTTTGCTTTTCATATCCAGGCAAGGCTTATAATTCACAAAAATATGTGCACGTACCACAATAACAGAGGGCACACCAATTCGTAAACTTAGATAGCGGAAACTAAAACATGTTGCTGATATCCCTCAGGATGGAATACTCCAAAGCCCAAGAACACCTAAATGCCTATTCTGTGAGATTATTCCATCTCTTTATAGTTTCTCAAATTAAAAAAATAAGAATTTAAACAAATTTCCATTTCCATCCTCTACGTGAGTTTGAGCGAAGTCATACATATTGGTGAGGTGGCATAGAGATATTTTTAGAATGACCACAGCAGTCTTGAACTATGTTTCTCCAGATGTATCTAATGAAAGGGATTTTTAAGGAGAAGGGAATGTTGAAAAAGGTTTTCCAGGAGTTAAACTGCACTGTTGCTGTAGTAGCCTTGTCTATCCGCAGAAGACAGTATTTCCACTGAACACATGTAACTAGAACACTCATGGCAGGTGGGCACCAACGAAATCGTCACACTTGGCTGTGTGGAGCTAGAGTTCTTACCGAAACAGAATTGTTAGTGCTGCTATGACCATTAGCAGGGGACTGTCTGGAAGTGGAGGGGGAATCTCTCTGAAATAAGACACAAGGGTCATTAACACAGAACACCAGCACAGAAACAGATATTTACATCAACAGTTACAACCACAGTCTCACAGCCATTTCCTTTGAGGTTAGCGCTATAAAGGTGCCATACTGACTTACTTGCATGATTTCGCAGAAGTAGGAAAATTTTGCAGCTTGAAGATTCACATATTGTAAGTGATGACCGTGTAATCATTCATTAATCATTTATTTCCTGTCTCCCACATTCTATAACCTTTGCTTTCTTTTTATGAGACCCAGAAGAGTGATGTCATATTAAAACCCTATCAAGTATCTTCAGATGACAAATATTACTATAAAATTATTGTGCTGAAGATACCATGCCTAGTTTTTCTTAAAGACTAGGTTTGAAAAGTAGTTAACGAGTTTTAGGTATTTCAGTGTTAAGAATTACTGAGCAACTCAATTTGAAAAGAAATGAACCTAAAAGTAAGACTTCATATTTTGTAATCACTTTAGAATCTTCCCGGAATAAGTAATACCACTGGGGTAAAAGACAGATACACACCAGAGAAGAACTCTTTACTTTATACCATTTTATATAAACGATAATCCCAAGCCTATAACAATGTCACACTACTGTACAAGCTCCCAGGGACCACAGCTGCTCTCCCTAGAACCCTATTCAGTACACTCAACACTCCTTTCCAGGCTCCATTCGCTCAGTATCCAAATCAACTTTAATGGTAAGAACAAGGAGAGGAATAAAGTAAGTGCTTTACGGTTTTTGATTTAGTAGAACTCTTAAGCCTTTGAAATGTGCATTTCTGCTAAAAAGACATTTTGTCCCCCTAGAGGACTGAAAGAAAACTTCTGGAACTTACTAGCCTTGAAGGGAATGGTATTCTTTAGAGGAGCATTATCAAGTGTTAGTGAGCATATTGATCTCCAGGTGCCCTCACTTAGGGACTCAAGTTAGTAGGGCCACGGTGAGGGGTAGGGGTTCACCCTTTTACCAAGGGCCTGGGAGAGGCAGATGAGAGCCTTTCTTTGGGAAGTCTTGCCCTAACTGGGAAGAATCCAACCATAGGCTTGAATGCTGCCTCAGTACGGGGGAGTCAAAAAGGTAGGAGAAGGGCTAGAAAGAGGGCTATCATTACTTTTTGGACTATGCAAAGGTGTAGAAGGTAAGAGGGTACTTCTCCTTGCTCAACAGCATAGAATTTACATGTATAGTACTAGTCCCATCCCCAAATCAGTTTAACCACTTAAAGAAAATGAAAGAGAAACATATTAGTAACTGACAGTATCTTCCAGTTAGCCAAAAAAGAATCAAATGTATTTACTAAGTTTCTTCAACAGATGAGAAAGGTGTGAGGAACACTTGTGGTTTTAGAATATTAAAACTATTTATATAAAATGTCTGCATGACATTGCCTCTTTTGCTGTAAGGGAGATTTCAATACACTGAATCCTGGAGCAGAAGCAGTTCTGCATTTTATTTTGAAATATACTATTAATTGAAGTTCCCTAAGAAGCCAGTGAGAGGAGCTCAAGACCCGACATAATAGACACCCCAATTGTCATGGCTCACTAAAAATATACTTGAAAAAACTGTAAATTCTTATACACGTCTTGAATAGGTTTAGAAAAAAATATGAAGCCTCTGATTTTTTTTCCTGTGAAATTTATAGCATCACTGGAGACTGGAAGAGATATTATAATATCTCCCTCAAATTCTCTGAAGTACAAATCCAATAAGTTACCCGTCAATCTTCAAAATTAACTTTAGAAGGTGTGCATGTCACATTGATGTACACGTACTTGGAAGATGCACATGAAAAAAACCAAGTTTCAAAAATAATACTCAAGCCGAATGTGCTATGACCAAAGAATTATACCGTTTATGCCAGTTTATATTTCTAGATGTAGAAAGAACAGATTTTTGACCTGAATTTAATAACCAACATAAAATTGGAAGGGCTCCAATTTCCATAGGCTAAACCTATTTTTAAGAAAGAAACTTTGGGGTTGTGATATTCTGGAAGACTTGTTTACGAATTACTTAACACTCTAAATGTATACAATTTTACAGAAGATTACTAGATCCTACATCCCTGTAGTGAAGTCAATTGTCAATTCATGAGGGACTTAACATTCATCTTGAGACCCATCACAATTATTTGAACAACTCTATCTCAACAAAAATAGATCACTTCTCAGATTCTTGGAAAGAAGAACTATCTATGTGATTTCTTAACAAGGGAAGTGAATGCACTTCCTGGAAATGTTACTGCAATTACGACCTTTTGTTTCCCCTCAGAGACTCCGTTTTTTCTTTATCAAGTCTTATGTCATTCTTTGAGGCTTCTCTATATTTGGCTTAGATTTCAGCCTGCAAAACATTCAAGTGCTGAGCTGAGACGCATGGAAGCAGGGTTGAGTAGGTGGACGGGACCTCCTCTGTTCCGTTATCTTTGTTGTAAAATTGGTGTGCAGTGATCTAACAGCACAGGCAGAAACAATTTCCCAGAAAGCAAAAACATTCAGCCATCAGCAGACAGTTAGTTAAGAACTCAGAAGAGATGGGGGTGGTTGGTTAGAGTCATTACCTCACAGGACGAAGACTGAGTACGGTAGCTTGGCACGATTTTGAAGGTAATACTCCCCCGCATTTCCCTCTGGAGGGGAACAAAAAACAACAGGAGAGTTCTCTCACAAACAGATGTTGCACACTTTTACACAGAAGAAACCACTCAAAACATGTGGGTGCAATTAGCATAAGCCACCTGACAGCACACAGCCCTAAAATGAAACCTAATTATAAGCCTGGGGCTGCTCAGGTTATCAGAAGTTTCTGGGAAAGGCCCAGGAAAGTCAAGGCTGATTGCCACAGTATCTAGAAATGAATGGTCTCACAGATCTCTCTGATGATTACCTTTTTACAGACATGAATACAAAACACTCTAAATGACATGCCTTGCAAAAGTGTCTGTAAATTGAACTAGATAATAGATTAAGTAATTACATGAAAATCTCATTTAGTATGCATTCTATGATGGTGTACTCCATAAAAACTGGCTTTTTCCTTTGTAATTTTGGCATTTTTTATTGTAACAAGTGTGTGGTGCTTATTTCACATTCAATAGGTAGTCATTACATGGGCAGCTGCTACACTGCAGTGGGAGGAAGCAGAGGAGGTCCAAAACATCTCCCTTTGCTTGCTGTAACAATGAACACAGGCAAGGTTCTGCCATTCTGTTGCTTCTTCTTCTTCTTTTTGTTTAAACCGAAGCCTAATTTGAACACACATTTTGATATGTATAGTCAAAAATTGCCTGGTCTGCAGTGACTGTCCTTCCCTTTGGGCTGCAGAGAGTTCCACTACAGCTGGCTATGACTCAGCTAAACAGGAAAGAGGTTTCTGACATTGTTGATGTCAGGAGACTTGAGGTCAGTGAGAAACTAGTTCTTAAGAACACACACTGGAAAGGTTTTCTTTAAATATCTGCATGTAAGAAGCATAAAGGATGGAAGGAGAGTGTTGGAGTACACTCTGCTAACGGTGGGCAAGATGTTTCCAAACTGTACTGCATGTAAGCATTTCCCTACTTGTCAGTTTTTATGAACGTGTGAAGTTCATGTTTACATAAATGATAGAAATACTCTGATTACAAATGACTATTCATATACTGGAGGTGTGGCTCAAGCTGTACAGCAACTGCTTTGTAAGCATGAAGCCCTGAGTTCAAACTCGAGTACCACCAAAAAAAAAAAAAAAAAAAAAGAAAAGAAAAAATGTTATTCACAACAATGAAAAACAACAATAAACAAACAAACAAAAAATGAATACTTACTATTTGTGTTTCAAAAAATAAACTAGCTGGGTGCAGGTGGCTCCCTCCTGTAATCTTAGCTACTTGGGAGGCTGAAATCAGGAAGACTGAGGTTTGAAGCCAACCTGGGAAAATAGTTCTTGAGACCTCATCTCCAAAATAACCAGAGCAAAATGGACTAGAGGTGTGGCTCAAGTGTAGAGTGCCTGCTTTGCAAGTGTGAAGCCCTGAGTTCAAACCCCAATACCATCCAAAAAAAAGAGGGCTAATAAATTGAAAGTGAATGCTGGGAAAAGGAAAATTTCATTACTCACCAGCATTTTCTGAAGCTGCTCCACCGTTTGGTTAGCCACACTGATGCCATTGATTTCCCGGATCTCATCACCGACATGAAGTGTGCCTAAGAAACAACGCAGGACACAAACACGAAATGACATGTCCTTTTATAATAATAAAAGACAAAGGTAGGCATGAAATTTAAAAGTTAACTTATATATTGAAAGCCAATATTTCACAAAAAGGTACAAGTTTGGCTACAGCAGAATTATTTAACTCATGTAGTAAATTCCTCAAAACAGATACATATATTTGCACAAGACACCATCTAGCTGGGTAGCCATAGAATCTGTTTATTTTTCTGAGAGAGGTCATGTGTACAGTGCTTTGAAAGTATGGCTTCTAGATTCAGACTGCCTGGGTTCAAATCCCAGCCTTTTTACTAGTTTTAAGATCTTGGCTACATTACTAAAACTCTCCATGCCTCAGTGAACGCGTTCTGCTATTGTTGCTATTATTATGAGACAAAGGTTGTCAGTTTTATAAAAATTGTGATATGATAATATCTACATAACACTAACTTACATTAAACATAATTTAGTCCTTTTCTAGTAATTTGGGAGGTATTTTAGCATCCAAGAACCAATTTTTTGTCATTGCAGTTTTGTTTCCTTATTTGTAAATGGTGCATATATTTATGTGCTGATCTGGATTCATTATGAAAAGCTCACAGTATCTTTTGGAGGTATGTACTAATATGCATATAAACAAAACGGTAAGATGCCTGAGATGGCTTAAGAATAACGTGTGGGGGGTGGGAAGTAGGACAAATATAGAAGTAATGTGCCCTGAGTTCAAGCCATGAGTTAATGGTAATTACAGATGGGCTATGGGTATGTGTACAATCACCATGCTATGCTGTCACAATAAAAATGAAATGAAAATTGGGGGACTTTTGTTTCTAACGTGTCTGATTGGGCACTCAAAGACTTTCTAACAATTGTATCCTGCTTACGGCATATTTCTTCAACAGTTACTAGTGTTCTAAAAGGAGTATAAATCTCTAAGAACACCTCTCATTTTCACCCTCCCATACCCACCACACAACAGAATGCTGTAAAGTGGACCCATCATGACAAGGTATGCATTTTGGGAAAATGCCACATATATAAATTGTTTAATATTCAAAGTCTTTTTTTTTCCTTTTTTTGGTGGTACTGGGCATTGAACCCTGGGCCTCACACATGCTAGGCAAGTGCTCTACCACTTGAGCCACACTGCCAGACCTTTTATTAGTATTTTGTTTTTGAGATAGGGTTTCACTATTTTTGTCTTGGCTAGCTCTGACTCTGTCTCCCCAGTAGCTAGTATTACAAAATGCGCACCACCATGTCTGTCTGTTTTTTTTTTTTTTTGAGATAAGTTCTTGCTATGTAGCCCAGGCTAGCCTGGAACTCAAGATCCTCCTGCATCAGCCTCTGAGTGCTGGGATTATGGGTGTATGTCACCATGCCTTATTCAAGATCTTAATGTTATCTATCTTTTATAAATGATACTGCCCTTAAGTTTATCTTAATTCTTAATGTTTTTAAATTGGTATCATGTAATGCTTAAATATATGTATATGTTGTGTAATGTTTAAATCAAGCTAAACTTTTATCTTCTCAAACATCCAACATTTCTTCATGGTGAAAATATTCAAAATTTTCTTTTAATTTTTTGAGATATACAGCACACAATTGTTATCTATAGTCACCTAATGGTACATAGAACTTCTTGCTACTATCCAACTGTAACTATCCAACTTGTTTGACATCCCTCATCCCCTACCCCTATTCTTCCTAGCTTCGAGTAACCACTGTTCTATTCTCAATTTCTATGAATCAACTGTTTAGATTCGTGTGGTACTTGACTTACTTCACTTAGCATAATGATCTCCAGTACCAACCATGCTGAACCAAATGATATGATTTCATTCTTTTTTTAAATGAATGAACAGTGTCCTATGTGTATATGTAACACATTTTCTTTACCCAAAGATTCCATTTATTTATTTAGGCACTAGGGTTTGAACTCAGGGCTTCGAACTTACTAGGCAGGCATTCTACTGCTTGAGCCACTCAACCAGCCTCAAAGATTCCTTTTAAAAATTGGAATAAGACAAGGATTTTACTACACCACTTCCAGGTTGAAGATCCTAGCCAGTGTAGTAATGTAACAAAGAGAGTTTAAAGAAATAATGATGTTATGACTACTGAATACATAGCAAATATTAAAGATAATAAACAAAAATAAATACTGGACTCTAAATGTGAATATCTTCCTGTGTGGTTGCTGTACACATTGTATGCCTATAAGAACTCCCCTGAAAGCAGCAATGGTGTCAGACATCGTGTTGTGCACACAATGGTCATCTCTAACTAGGAGAATAAGGCACTAAAATGCTTAGGGTGTTACTTCTTGCTCTCTGGGGGTAGGGAAAGATTTTTTTCTTTTTTTTTTGTGGCACAGGAGTTTGAACTCAGAGCCTCATGCTTGCTAGGCAGGTGCTCTTACCATTTGAGCCACTCTACCAGCCCTTCTTTAGTGTTGGGTATTTTCGAGATAGGGTCTCTTGAACTATTTGTCTTGGCTAGCTTTGAACCATGATCCTTCTGATCACTGCCTCCTAAGTAGCTAGGATTACAGGCGTAAGCCACCGGCACCCAGCCAGAAAGAGGTTTTAAGTACAAAAATAACCCATCTTAATGAAAGGGAGCCTTTAGGATAGTATTTTTTTTTGGCTGTACTGGGGTTTGAACTCAGGGTTTCAGGACTTCATGCTTGCTAGGCAGGAACTCTACTGCTTAAGCCTTGCCTCTGGCCCCCAGGAGAATCATTTTTGCAACATCCTCTGCATATCAGTGTGTATAAATTATTCATTTCAAAGATACCTTAACGTACATGTCCAAATCCTGCCCATCTTTGAGAATCAACTGAAGTTTCACTTCCTCAAAAAAAAGAAAAAATCATTCTTGTTTTTGGTAGTACTGGGGTTTGAACTCAGGGCCTCATGCTTGCTCTGGCCACTCCAGGGCGCTCTGCCACTTAAGCTACACTGCTAGCCCCTTTGCCCTATTTATGTTGGTTAGTTTTTGAGATAAGGTCTTGTGTTTATGCCTGGGCCAGCCTGGACTGTGATCCTCCTATTTATGACAGGTATGCACCACAACACCCAGCTTTTTATTGGTTGAGATAGGGTCTCATGAACTTTTTGCCCTGGCTGGTCTTGAAAAGTTATTCTCCCCATCTCTGCTTCCCAAGTAGCTGGAATTATAGGCTTGAGCTACCATGCCCAGTCAAAAGATAATTTCTTCATTTCTATCAGTCCTTAGTGAATTACCCCCTCTGAATGACTGCACTTACTATAGCAATGATTAAGAATTTAATCATCAATTTCACATCTCTTATCATTTAATTTTTATATTATTAGCTATCTAAACTCTCTGAAGTCCTAATTTATAAATAGCATACCTCATTCCTGAGTGAATAAGTCCTTCTTAAACTGTTATTTAACTCTATAAAAATATATTTATATTTACATTCTATCTATGCATCTATCTATCTATCTATCTATCATCTATCTCTACCCATCCATCCATCCATCCATCCATCTTGTATTCCAGAATGGATGTCTCCCCTACATCCTGGGCCTTACATGATTCTTTACTTTATTTCCCATGGTCTCTAATAAATCACATTCTAATTGTGGTCCAGAGGTGCTCCAAGCCAACAGAACTCTAATGCATTCTCTCTTCATAGCTACATTCTGTAACATGCACAGACAAATAATAAACGGAAGTTAACAGTAACTAAAATTCAAAGACAACTGAAACAGATCTTTTTGTGGCTCATAAAAACACTTCCTTCACTAGGCTATAGGAAACAAGTTAAGGAAGGCAAGGAAAGTGATACAGATGGAACTTACCTTGCCTGTGAATCATGCCCCCATGCATAATTCTTGCAACAATACAATGATTTAGCTCGTTCATTTTCAAAGTGATTCCCTGTTTAAAAAAAAAGGTTCAGTAAGAGTAGAATTACTATGAGGGCACTTCTTTTTATATTTGTGATTTTGCTGTAGATACTTTTGATAACAAAGGTTAGGAAAACATTAAAGAAAATATGGAAAATGAAGCCCCTCTATTACTCCACCACACAACATTGTTCTAGGGCAGAAACACTTGGTATTTTGATGTCTATAGCATATAATAGCATGCATACATTTTATGTAGTACTTTTTAATCTAATTATAATATGATCATTTTCCATGTTGCTTTAGTTCTCATGTGCCAGTTATTTTAAAAAAGTTTTTATTGTTTTATAATTGACACATTTAAAGTGAACAATTTGATAAGTTCGACATGTGCATACATGTGTGTAAACAATCACGGTGACTGATGTCTCACCCCCACACGTTTCCTCATGCCCACTGTAATCTACTCCCATCCTTTCATGCTTTTCCTCTTCATCCCCAACCACTGGTAGGCTTTTGCTGACTACAGTTTAGCTTGCACTATCTACAAATGGAATCGTACACTGTGAAGTCTTTTGGTTGCTTTCTTTCATTTGGCATAATTATTTTGACATTCTACCACATTGTTGCTTGTATGGACGGTTCATTCTTTGTTTTTGCTGAGTAGTATTCCATTGTATGGATGTGCCAGTTGGTTTATCCACTCACCCTCTGTGCTACTTCCAGTTTTTGGAAGTACTATTATAGGTAAAGTTGCATGTGCTTGTAACATTTTTTTTTTTAAAGATGTGGGGCATGTCATACATTCCCATATCATTCTTATACAGAGGCAATGATAATATTTTCTGTACTGCTAATATTTTAGTACACTAACATTTTCATATTTTGTTAGATTTGCTTTGCTAAAATTTTGTTTAGAAGTTTTGCATCTATATTCATGAGGCATACCAGTGTGCAGTTTTCTTTCCTTGTAATGTCATTATTTGGTTTTGGTATTATGATAATGTCTTCAAAGAATGAGTTGGAAAAAATTCCTTCCTTTTCAATGTTTAGACCTTGGCATTGAGGGTTTTTTTTGAGGGACTTTTTTTTTTCAGTGCTGAGGAAGGAACCCCGGGCCTTACACATATTAGGTAGGTAGTGTTCTACCAGTGAGCTACATCCTAGCCCCTGAGGGATGGTTTGTAAATATAAATTTAATTATTCAATAGTATAGGGCAATTCAACTTATTCCTTCTTAAGTGAGATTTGGTAGTTTCTATCTTCCAAGGAATTTTTCCATTTAATCCACATTGTTGAATTTATTTGCATAAATATACTTTTTAAATTTTCTTACTATTTAAAAAAAAATTCCTGGAGCACCTGCAGTGATGTTACCTATCTCATGCTCGATATTGGTAATTTGTATCTTCTTGTTTTTCCCAATCATTCAGTCATTTTTCTTGATCAGTCTGATCTTTTCAAATAAAAAGTTTAATTGATGCTCTATTGATTTTGTTTTCTCTTTCATTGATTTCTACTTGAATCTTATTTCTTTTCTTCTACTCATTTAGGGTTTAATTTATTCTTTTTATTTTTTGAAGTTTTAGCAAGGGTTTATTTTAGTATTTTCTTTCCTTCTTTTTTTTTTTTTTTTTTTTTGGTGGTACTGGGGTTTGAACTTAGGTCCTCACACTTGCTGGTGAGGTGTTCTACTTACTTGAGCTACTTCACCAGCTAAGATTTATTTGTGTATAACAGGATAAAAGGTAGAGAGAAGTGGACCAAGCAGGAAATGGGAGTAAAGACTAAAAATGATCATTTTTATCTGTGGCATTTTACTTTTTGAGCTGGGAGAATATACAAGATCATGCCCCTAATCATTAGACAACAGGTCTGGATGGCTAAAATAGGTGTTGTTTATTATTCTAAAACAAGGAGATGTGATCTAGGCCTACCAGAAACACAGGTTGACAATAGGTAAGTTTTAGGACTTCCCTTTGTCAGGCATGCCTTCCAATTTTTTGACTTTACCCATTCATGAAGTTTACCGCTTCTTAACATCTCAAAGGAGAAGGCAGATGGACCCTTTATCTCTCCCTATTCTTGTAACTTAACATTAAAAGGTGGTAGGAGAGGCGCTACCTGCTCTGGTTTTTCAGCTTTTACTTCCTGTTTCAAATGTCTGAGTCTGGCCCTTTTAATATAAATTTTAATTTCCCTGTCTCCTCATCTATCCTGTCTCATCCCCTCCTAAATGACTTTGGGCCCTTTAATCTTAAAAGGGGTTACAGAGGTCACCAGTGCATTTTCTATGGCTACTTTGTGCTGAAAGTGGAAGTGTTAGTCCTGCCTAGAAAGGGAACCAAAACATTGTTTCTCTATCTTAGTCAGGCGGGGTGACATGGGAAATTCAGTTGTCAGGAAAATCAGTTGTCAGGCTGCCATGATTAGGACCAGAAGACATCAAGTTTTTCTTTTACTGGGGTCTATTCTTAAGTTTACTTCTGTCTGTTTTATAAAGTGATGTCCTAGTACCTCAAAAACATTGCGTAAGTTGTTATCGTTAGAAGTTGTACTTCTTGTGAGACTCAATTCCTAGCTGGTTTGCCAATCTTCTGTCACAGTTGAGGGATGAGGAGGTTACCCTGGCTTTTCAGTTTTTATGCAAAATCACAGGTATTTGAGAGCTACATGTGAAAAGCATTTCAAGGTATCTCCTGACAAAATGAGAAGCTTTATCAAGGACTTATTTTAGTATAACAGGATAAAGTAGGGACAAATGGGAAAAAAAAGAGAAACATTTACTGCAGGCAATGGGAGTAGAATCCTTTGATTTTTTAACATGGAAGGTGAGGTCATTGATTTGAGACTTTTTTTTCTTTTTTAATGTAGATATTTAGTACCATATGTGTCTTACTAAGTACTGTTTTAGTGGCATCCAACAAGTTCTTATTTACTATGTTCATTTTCATTCACTTAAAAATACTATTTAATTTTTCTTTTGATTTCTTTTATGAATGGGTCAATTAAAATTTTGTTATTTAGTTTTCAGATGTCTGGAGATTTTTCTTTCTGCTATTTATTTTTTTTGAAACAGGGTCTTGCTATGTAGCCCAGGCTGGCCTCAAACTCAATATCCTCCTGCCTCAGCCTCCTAAGTGCTAGGATTATAGATGTGTACCACCATGTCCAGCTTCTTCCTGCTACTAATTTATAATTTAATATCACTGGTATCTAAGAACATACTTTGATATTAATATAGTCACTCTACCTTTTTTTTTAATGTCATGGTATATCTTTTTCTAACCTTTTACTTTGAAACTATTCTTTCTTAATGTATAAAGTGCATTTCTTGCAGGTAGCATACAATTGGGTCTTGCTTTTTATATTTTTAAGAAATCTAATCTGACAACCTCTGCTCTTTAAGTGGTGATGGACTATTCACATTTAGCATGATTACTGATCATGTTTGGTATAAATATATTTTCTTGTTATTTGACTTCTTGTTTCACCTAATTTATGTTTCCTTTAAACATTTTTTCTGCCTTTTTGGGATTACTTTATTTTTTATTCTGTTTGTGCTGTGTCATTAACTTTACTCTTCATTTTGTTGTTTCAGTGATTGCCCTGAGTTCAAAACCCAGTACTGACAAAAAAAATCCCCAAAATATAAAACAAAAACACACCTTTGTAAAAGCACACTTTTACCTGATTTTTGTATTATTATTGTCAGACATTTTACTTTCACACATGCTGTAAAACCCAAAGAGTTATTTTTGTTTAAGCTGCCAAATATCTTTGAAAGAGATTTAAGTGATAAGAACTTACAAATTTATCCACATAGCTAGTGCTTGCTCCTCCCTTTCTGTAGATCCATATTTCCATCTGTTATCAGTTTCCTTTTGCCTGAGGATATCCTTTAATATTTCTTATAGTGTGGGTCTGCTAAATTCTTTTAGCTTTGGTGTGTCTGCAAATGTTTTTATTTTGCCTTTGCTTTTGAAAGATTTCTTTGCTGTTTTCTCCAGACTCTCACCTCTGTCCTCTCAATTCAGGGAGTCTGCTTGCTCTACCTCAGTTTCCTCTCTCTGTGTTGTAGTCTGGAAATTATAGGGGTCAGCTTGTTTGTTTCCTGTCTTTTAAGGATCACTGTCCTTTGTTGCTTGATGTGCAATGTCTCAAAAACTGTTCTTTCATGTAAATTAATGTTATATATATTTTTTCCAGTGGTACTGATTCAGGGCCTTGTGCTTGCTAGGCAGGTGCTCTACCACTTGAGCCACATCCCTAATTCTACTTTTTATATTTTTTCTTGTTGCAGATGAGAGGGTATGTCTTGTCCCAGTTACTCCATCTTGGCCAGAAGTGGAAATTTCACAGTCATATTTAATACCAGAATATCTTTTTTTTTTTTTTTGCTGGTACTGGGGTTTGAACTTGCTGGGCAAGTGTTCTGCCACTTGAGTCACACCCCACATGCCTTTTTGCTTTATTTTTCAGCTAGGGTCTTATGCTTTTGCCTAGGATCATAATTATCCCACCTTTGCTTCCTGAGTAGTTAGAATTACTGGGATGAACCATCATGCCTAGTTTGTTTTTTGACATAGGGTCTTGCTAACTTTTTGCCTAGGCGGGTCTTGAATTGTAATCCTATCCCTGCCTCCTGAATAGTTGGACTTGTAGGTGTGAGCCACCATACTCAGCTCAGAGTATCATTCTGTGGAGTGGATTACTTTTTGTTTTCCAATTATTCATTATTAAAAGGCAAGCTTTCATAAACATATTTTTGCACTAGATCTGGTTGATCCTAAGAACCACATAGGGAATTTTAAACCCATTCTCTAGATTTAGATTCAGGAGGTCTAGAATGGAGCACAAACATCTGTATGTTATAATAACAAGGTCCCTCTGGGAAAAGTGGCCCTGAATTTGAGGTTAAAAGTAGGAACTCCAATCTTGTATCTTCATCAGATAATAACATTCTGTCAGAAAGTTTCATGGAAGTATCTGAGAATTTATACTCTAACTTAATTTATACTATTTCACAAAATATAACTTGTCATGGTTCCTTTTTTGCAATTCTCAGAAATGGAAGGTGAGCAATGTGAAAGACAGAGTTTATCAAAATGTTTTGTCTTAACATTAAATTGTAATGTTCAAGCTTCATTTCCAATTTGTACATTCAATCAGAACATACAGCTAAGAGAAATATCCTTAAAAATGCTGTGAATGAATATGTAACTCAAATCTAATTTCATAAGGGAAATGTTAGCACAAGGGTGGTTCTACCTTTAACACTTATAGGTTGATGTATTCATTCAACCAACATAAATGAGAGCCTATTAGGGGCAGCCACTGTGCTAGGCACAGTCATGAATGAGACAGACAGGCTCTCTCACAGCTAGGGGACATTCACCTCAAATCAATTGTACTTAGCATTTTTTTATTCTGTCTGCCCAAACATTTCTATGTAGAGATGAACTAACTGATGGTCTCTCTGTTCCAAAGTTCACAAATTTTAAGGAAGGAACTGACTCATTGTGACTGGGGTGCTCATTCCTGAGCCTATCAGCACTTGAGGGCATTATGAGGGGGTGTACACTCCTGGCCTTTCCTTGTTTATACAAGCCTTTCCCCTACTGTGTAAGTTAGTTCAAGGGTAGTCTTTGTCATGTGCAACTACAGGAGTCCCAATTAATAGAGAAAAAATTATGACCATCATGCTATGAACCAGGAAAACACTGGATGTAATGAGGATATATTACCCTTGGGGAATGGATACATTATAGAGGGTCTCCAAAGCAAAAGAGGTTATATGGTATAATCTGCATAGTAATATAATGCTTTGAAGAAGCCAAGCAAGCAAATAAAGTCATCTTAAGTGCAATAGTGACTTCTACTCTTATTGACTCTAATATATTTTATATTTAACATAAAATAATTCCTGTTTTCATAGAAAGCAGTCAAAGGAAGAAATATACACCATCAGTATGATCACAGAAGAGAAAGGGGATTTTTAAAGGAGACTTTTAGAACAGATTCAAGGCCATTTTATGCTTTCTGAAAAAGTAAATCAGGGATAGAATTTTATGCTTTTACTTAGTCTATGTTTCTGTGTAGTAGTCAGCCTTCATCCAAAAGATCAAGCAACCGTCTGCTTCATAACATGATGATCACCACTTTGTGACCTCCTTTATGTGGTCCTGTCTGCCTTCCTGTTTTGCTTGACTGAATATTACCCCTCTTCCTGCTATCCCGCCCAGCCTCCTCTCCTCTCTAGCTCTGTCATACCTGGGCTTGTTAAACTGTGCCAAGCTGCAAATGTATTCACTTAATGTAGCCCACCCCATGGTAAGTGAGCTCCAGCTCCAGGAAGGGCCCGTGTCCTATCTGCCACTATGTCACTGGCATCTAATACAGTGATCTGTGATTTGTGCATGGTAGGGACTTCAACATTTGCTGACTGGGTGAAGAAACACCTAAAATGATTGAATGTAATATTTCACTTTCCGAGCTAGGAGGGATCTTGGGGATCATTTACGCAAGTGTGCTTCTAGAGATGAACAACCTGAGGCCTACTGACATGACATGATCTGCCCAAGGCCTCAAAAGCTGCCGCCACCATGCCCATGTTCGTAAGCCAGACCTGCCTAGAGAGCAGCAGAAGAGGCAAGGTGATGTGCATGTCCCCTCCTGCTGCCAGATAATATTGGACAACTGACAAAGAACAGCTAATAAGAATTATAACTAGAAATGTCTACAACTGCAGGTTCTCTGGAAATTGTGGTCATTGTAGTCACTGCTCTGCAACTCTTCCTTTGATCTGCAGGGCAAATGGTCAACTTTCTTAAGTATGTATTTTGTTTTTCTATTTACCAAGAGCCCTTTTCTATGCTGAGGAAAAGATGAACGCCTATGTTACAATGGTTTCTTTTCCCCTTTAGTTATGATACTTTCTACAAATTTGTCTAATGTCTACTATCTCAAAGTCACTATGTAAGTGTTCCTTTAGTTATCCAGAACTAAAGCTTAAGTGTCATTGTTGACCTTTGTTTCTCCTTCATTCCCATTATTAAAGTGTACTGATTTTATTCTTTTGTGATTTCTTAAATCTGTTTGCTTCAGTAACAGCCTCTTTACTGGTCTCCCTAGATCTACTCTTGTTTCCTCTAATACGTTCTCTAGAGTGATGTTTCTAAAATGAAAATCTGGGCTGGCGGAGGGGCTCAAGAGGTAGAGCACCTGCCTAGCAAGTGTGAGGCACTGACTTGTGTGGTTCTGTCCTGGTCACTTGCTTTGCTGTCTACAGTCTAGCCACCACAGTGCCTTCTTTCCATTTGGAAACTATAAGACCCTTTCCACTGCCAGGTTTTTGCACATGCTATTTGGCTTGCCTGAACTGTGTCCCCCCATATTCTCCCTGCATGCCGGTGCTCTGCTCAGTGACTATGCAGAAATCCTCCCTTAATCTCAATCTGTGAGGATCCTATGAGAATGAGGGGGAGTTCAACATCTCTATTCCATCTCTCTTCCTCAGCATGGAGAAAATTAATCCATATTAAGTAGGTAGATGTGAAGGAAAGGAATCTTATTTCAGAAATGTTACTCAATTTTTGAATTCCTTCTAATTTAGTCTTTCTTCCTAATTTTGGTGGAGGTAAAAGATCTGGAAAGTAAAGGGTTTTTTTTTTTTTTTACAATGTATTAGACATTTTTTTCAAATTTTTCCTTTCTTTGCTTTCCCAGAGGTTTTTACATTTTGGAGAAACATGCCACCATGAGTTTTTTTTTATTTTTATTTTGATAGGAAATTGTGAAGGGAGAAGTGAGAAGGACCAGCACATCTAGGAGCTGGTATCAGACCGAACAATTCCTGCAAAGGGTGGTGGTGGTGGTGAGGAACCAAAGATCCAGAAGGTCATTTCTCTAGAACATTCATGTCCTATTTCCCTCCTCTCTCCTACCAGCAGTATAGGCTGAAGTTAGTTGATTTAACTCAAGCTGGAGTTTATAAGAGCAGGAAAACTGTCTTTTCCTACTTACCATTGGCTCATCCGTATTCTTTTGGAACTGTACCAGCCGGACTCTGGTCACATTCTCCATATCCATGTCTCCGTTAGCACTTTCTGGAGAATCACCATTTAAATACGGAGAGGTGGGAGGAGGTGTGACCCTCAATGCTTCATCGCTGTAAACTTCATGTGCCACTACGTCATGAGTCTGAAGTAAGGCCTAATATTTTTATGAAAGAGGGAAAAATTTAATAGTATCAGTATTCCAACAGAAATCTATTATGTAAACACATATAAAACTACTCTTTACTTCTCAAACGTAACTGTCATCTAAAAAGAACTCAAAGTGCATTATAACAAGACCCCAATTTTGTCACAAATAATCAGATAGGTGATTTTTTTTTGTAAAAAAGAAAGAATAAATTAGGGAGCAAATTAATGAATACATGTGTTTGTTGGCTTCCTCAATAAGAAGTGTTATCTGATGCTATGAAAATGTATCCAACTAACTTGTTCTGATAAAGTCTGATATACTGAAATTTCAAATAATTTAGTAGAAAGAATCATGTATAAAAAGAGCTGGTACTCAGGCGCTGGTGGTTCATGCCTGTAATCCTAGCTATTTAGGAGGCAGGGATCAGGAGGATAGGGGTTCAAAGCTAACTCAGGCAAATGGTTCAAGAGACCCTTTCTCAAAAAAACCCATCACAAAAAAGGGCTGGTGGAATGACTCAAGGTATAGGCCCTGAGTCCAAACCCCAGTACTGAAAAAAAAAAAAAAAAGGGCTTGTTCTAGGGATTAAAACTGAAATAAATTAAAAAAGAAGCCCTTTTTGCGAGGGGTACCCTCGAACCTTGATCCTCCTGTCTTTGCCTCCTGAGTAGATGATATTACAGGCATATGCCACTATGCCTGACTCTCACTACACTTTTTGTGCTATCATAAAAAAACCTTGAAAAAAAAGCATGAGTATTTGAATGAGGATGTTTATAGTAAAGAGAGTTTATAGTTGACTATCCATCTTTTTGGAACTTTATATATTTTATGCATTTTAGTTTTATACATTTTGTATTTTTTGTATGCTAGCTATAAATTTAGTTTTACTTTTATCTGTAATCTATGTGGTATTGAAATAGCTGCAGATAATGAAATTCAATTAAAATTGCTTTAAAAGTATAACTTTAGCATCTGAAGTTATTTAATTAAAGACTTCTCAAAATCTTGGCTTGACTACTTTAATTTTAAAGGCATGCATGCAAGGCAAAAACAAGGTAACAATGTGGTAGATGTGCTGATTTGTCGTCAGTAAATGATATGCTTTGAGCTGGGTGCCGGCGGCTCTTATTTGTAATCCTAGCTACTTGGGAGGCCCAGACTGGGAGAATCACAGTTCAAGGCCAGCTTGGGCAAGTAGTTTGAGAGACCCTATCTCTAAAATAACCAGAGCAAAATGTACTGGAGGAGTGACTCAAGTGGTAGAGTGCCTGCTTTGCAAGCATGAATCCCTGAGTTCAAACCCCAGTCCCACCAAAAGAAAAAAAAAAAGAAAAAGTTTTCCAGCAGAAATGGCAGATACTCCAGAGTGGCCCTGGGGTGTTGGCTTCCTCACTGGAGCCCTGGTGGCACCACGCACTGGTAATCCCAAACCCAAGTGTGGAGGCTGTGCCATGTGTGCAAGTCTTTTTCTCATTTAATTCTGGATACTTTAAGAATCTAAGACTTAGGGCAGAGAGCAAAAATCAGTAATAGACCAACTAGAGAGCTTTATCTGCTACAATCACATTCATCATATCTAGAGATGCCTTTCCTAACTAGTATGTTTGAAAAACATGAATCTTGGAAGTTGCATGGGGTGGAGAAAATGCTTATGCTGCTTTTTGTAGGTGATTTCTAGTCATCTTTTAAAAATTATGTAAGTAGGCACTTACACTTAATGTATTATTGATAAGGAAGAATGAGCCCACAATCATAAAATAATACCCAAACTGAATTTTTAAAAATGCTTCAATTATGTCACCAAATAAGGTCATACTTGATATCAGCTGCAATTTGCCACTGTAAAAAATTATTGCCACAAAATAAAGCTAAATCTCAAGGTCTAATTCACATGCAAACAGAAAATGGGGCATGTGTAAATTGATTTTTTTAAGCTTAAAAACATATAAAATAAAAATAAGGAAATTGAAGTTTGAATATTTTCTTCAAATGTGTTATACAGTATGATTGAGCAATTGTTACTAAGCTGAAATAGCTGTTAGGTTTTTTTGAGACAGGGTCTTTTTTTTTTTTTTTTTTGAGAAAGGGTCTTGCTATGTAGCCCAGGCTGGCCTCTAACTCACAATCTTCCTGCCTCAGTGTGCCAAGTGCTGGAATTACATGTGTGTCCTACTGTGCCTGGCTATTTTAGCTATTAGTTTTAAATACATAGGAATCATGTGATAGGAAAGAAACACTTTTGTCCTGTAGTAAGAACATGTAGAAGACAACCAGCAACTGTAGACTAGAGTAACAGAAAATCTGACTACCAAAAAATGAATAGGAAAAATAGGAATTTTAGGTTTGAGATGTGTTTTAATTAGAAATCATGAAATGTACTACTTAATAATGAAACTTTTGTGGTGACCCAAAGTGAGTTTAGCTATCTTGTTTTTGGGAGAACCAGGATGCCAACTTTGTTTTAAAAGTATTCCATTCTAGATCCTATTTTCCTGTATCCATCCTTCCTTCCTCCCTCCCTCCCTCCCTCCCCTCCATTCTCTCTTTCCATACTGGGGTTTAAATTTATGGCTTTGCACTTGCGAGGTGGGCGCTCTACATCTCAGTCACACCTCTAGTCCTTTTTGCTTTAGTTATTTATATCAGATAGGATCTCATATTTTTGCCTGGGCCAGCCTCAGACTGTGATCCAACCACCTATGGCTCCCACGTACCTGAGATGACAAGTGTGTGCCACTGCACCCAGCTATTGGTTGAGGTGGTGTTTCACAAACTTTTTGTCCTGGCTGGCTTGGAATCACGATCTTCCTGATTTCCACCTCTAAGTAGCCAGGATTATAGGCACGACCCCTGTACCTGCCCTGTAATTGTGCTTTTGAATTGCAGTTAAGTAGATAACCATGTACCTTTTTCTTCAGAAAATTATCTTCTCTAGTTTAAGTAATGTAGTTTAAACATTTATATTTATAATAAGTGGCTAAATAAATACAGGTGCTATTTCCATTTTCCATATAGTAGAGATGAATAAAGAAAGTATAGCTTTGTATTGTAAAAAAAATAGATGAATTTTTTTCAATATATCAACTAGGTTCAGAGAACTTTATCTGCCAAAATTTTGTCCATTTTAGCTCTTTGTGATTTTGGTAACATGAAGAGTCTCAGTGATGTAGTGATGTAAGGACTATACCATCAGACTTGCTAGGCAGGCACTGTACCACTTGAGCCACTCCTCCCAGTAGGACTATACTATCAGAAAGGAAATCCCTTGTCTGAGGTCTACACAGTCCCTGCCTCATTATAGCTTATGTTTACATATTCTCTGACTGTCAGTCAGTCTGTCTCTCTCTTTGTGGAGGTACTGGGGTTTAAACTCAAGGCCTCACACTTGCTAGGCAGGCACTCTACCACTGAGCCATGCTCCCTGCCCTATCTACTCTCTCCTGATTGTATCATTTCTCTTGTGCTTGATTTAATTTTGTGTTGCTTTGGTTATCACGGCTCTAGGAACTTAGGAGTATACTACGCATATGTCTATATATCATATTGCCTAGGTGTATAGTAGTCTACGCCACCTAGCTTTGTGTAAGGACACTATAATGTTCTCACAATGATGAAATCGCCTAATGATGCACTTCTCGGAAACATCTTCATCATTAAGTGAGATATGACTGTACATGGATAAAAATACATTTGATGATGCCGGCAATATTTTACGAGGGTTATTAAGAACTTCTTTGGAAAGGAAGGCTTCATTTTAAGGAAATTTAATTTTTGTGACTTACCATGAAATGAGGTTGTGTTAAAATACGCTTTAGCTCCTTTGCGTCATTATTCTCAGGGTAACATGAAATTTCTTCCAATACCTGACAAATAAGCAGGATATTCAGTAGTGCAAACATGAAACAAGACTTATAAACTATGGGATTCTTTTAAGTTAAAAATTATGAGTCTGTTTTTATGGCAGGCAAGACAATTATTTTCAAAATATTCTTCATTTTATTCAAAGGTTATTGATATGTGAAATAATGGTATTGATGGTAATAAAAATAAAACATTGCTATAATAGCCTGCCTACATTACTCAGGTATAACCCAAAAGGTAACTGAAAAATACAAACCAAAATGACAAGCCTGCAACACATATTTATTACAGATTTAAATAACTTAATTGACTTAATGGGTATCTTCCAAACTCACCGCCAAAATCAATTTGTACTAAAAGTTAATAACAGCTTTCTTTTATAATAACAGCACTGCCAATTCCTTTAGAACGATGACATAGGCACAAATAAAAACAATTTAAAGAAGAACACTAATTAGAATAGTTAATTGATTAAGATTACATGTAAGTAATTTTCCTTGCAGTCTGGCAAGATTAACGTCATTCTCCATATAGAGAAAACTGAGCTCCTGGCAATGGCAGAAGGTTTAAATGTCACCGAACCCCAACAATAATTTTAAAAAACTTTCTTTATTCCTTCCACTTGAATTTTCCTCACTAATGAGTTGTTCACATTTTCTCTGCACTGGTTGAAACTGTATTTTCAAATAAAATTGTTCTTCAAAAGTTCTCCCTTCCCCCCAGGACAGAGTTGGCTTGTTTAACTTGATTTGGGGCCCTGAGACCATGGCAGGGCCTCTGCTCTTTTTCTGAATCAACACCTGCTGCTGTTCTAACTGTAGATGGCTGGATTCACAGAGAGGCCTACATACTATACTCAACTGAATTTCAACTGTGGAGGTGATCAAGGATTGCTTCTGCATTGCTGGTATCAGGGGCACACAGCCCTCCACCCTGTAGGACTCTGTGAAAACCTCAGGAGGGGTGGCCTTGAGGTCACTTTGCCTGGAGTAGATTTCAGCATCATACCTGCAAATGCTACTCAACCTTAGCCTCAGAAAAGAACACCCTTCCTCCCCAACTCCAGCATTTCTTTCTTATCCAAAGGCCTGTGAATGAGTGTTGGTTATGCTGCTAATTCATATCGTTTCATGATGATCTACCACTGTCTTCTTGGTATGTTTCAGGCTTTGAGTTTCTCTGCTGGAAACAAAGGATGAAAAAGTACAGAGGTGTGGTGTCTTAAGCACAGCAGTGGGAAAACCTTCAGCAGCTTTTCACTGTCTAGTTAAGCCAGAGAATTCTCCCCAGACTCTCTCTGCTTCTATCTATTTGGGTATCCTGAAGACGGGAAGTGACTTATGATTCTTGTCCATGATACCTTAATTCCTTTCAATAAGCACTTGGGCAAAGTATGAGACAACCTTTCCCAGTTTGTCCCCACCAAGAGGGCAGGTCTGTTTGTCAGGGAAGATATGATATTGTCCAGTACAAGTCTTGTGTTTACAGTCTGCTAGGGAAGGAATTATGTCTTTCATCCTCTTTAAAACCTAGCAATGTCACTTTATAAGAAATAATTTTTAAAAGAGAAATATTTATTTGCATAGACTGTTACAAGATCAAAAAATGAAAAAAATGTCCTGTGTCTGACAATGGAGGAATTTCTAATTTATTCTAATTTAATAATAACAAAGAATAATTATAGTCATTAAAGCTATATTTATGAAGACTAACAAGAAACATGGAGAAATGTTTATATATAATGTTGGGATAAAAAGTTACATTTTATTGCAACTACATAAAATTATATGCAAATGATAATGACTGGAAAAGACATGCAAAAATGGAAAACTACTGTATTAGGATGATGGGATTAGGGATCAATTTTTATTTTCCAAACTTCCTGACAAGTCATGGTTCCATAATAAGTAAGTCTGAAAAATGTTTGTGGCAGGTACAGCCATGTACATTGACAATGTATAAAAATGACTTCTTTGAATTGAGTATATTTAATTGCTCTACAAATTTAATTAACTTTCAAGCAATACCACCTTAGAAAAGCAACTCAAATTTCCATAGCCTGTTTCTACCAAGTACATTACAACAACATTTTTTCTTAAAAAAAATAACCAAGAAGTAAAATGGATACACTAATATATTTAAGTTTTCACAGCAGAAGCAGAACTAGAAATCTAGGAATATTGTTGCGGCTGAGATTTTTTTTTCTTTTCTGTATGCATGTTCAGTGATCAACTTCCAAATACCAAATCCAAGTATAATGAGTCAAACTGTGACTCCAAGAAAAGTGCCTCTTTCTGTGAGCAAGAAACGTCTTCAATAAAGACAGCAAGTATGATGATACTACTATTTTCAGAAAATACATCACTTACCTCTTTGGCTCTCTGTACTGCATCACTTGGAGGATTCCTGATTTGTGGTGAAGATTTTGTGTTAATTTTGTCATACAGCTAAAAAGCAAGGAAGAAAATCCAATTATCATCCATAATTCTTTGCTACAATTCCTTGTTATTATTTCACTAAACAATATTTTCCCACTTAAAAAGGCAGGTTGATGATTACAGTGGATCCTCTTGTTAACAATCTCTTGATCACTCTGCAAAACCTATCAGAATATGAGATTTATGTGTTTCTTTTTTAAGATACGCATAAATAGAGGGACCAAAAGTCTGCCAATGCAGCAATTTCTGTGGCATTTTAAATTCGTCAATATTTCAGCAATCACAGTGATTTTTTTTCCCCCTGTGACAGAAGCAACATTCAATAACATGAATACAGAATAAAATGAAAGAGTGCTCTCTGGCCAAGACACGTCTGAGAGAATTTTCACAGAAACTTAAATCTTGGGAAAGGGCAAACCTAACTCCTTCTAGTAAGGAATGTTCTCACAAAAGATTTATGCTTGTTTTACTACGGCTGTTTATTAACAATACCAGTGCCGGCATCCTTCAGCAGCAAGTCAAGGACATTCCCTTTTTTGCTTTGACTTTGGAAATTCAGAGTATGAGAAGATGCTGAAAATGAACGAAATGTATTTGTAAAAACCCCACAAACCTAAATGATTTAGACTTTAACTTTCTTTGTTTCCCCAAACTTTAACTTTCTGAGGACCATCAATTCTTTAGAGAAAAGTTTCTGTTGTTTAGAAATGCAATGAAAATGTTAGTTTCTACCTCAAATGAAATGGTTAATAGACTGTTGTCTGCTTTGAAAAGTGAAAAGTCAAAAAGGACCACAGCTAGTCTGAAAGCTTTTTTCTAACTTCTCTAAAATAGGTGGGGAGTTTTTTGCTGGTTCCCCCTCACTTATCTGCACACCAATGCTAGTTGAGAGGTGAAATACTGACAGTAAACATTCCTCAGATTATAGTTAAGTTTTGTTTATACTGATGCAAGATAGATCTTTATGACTTGTAAATATTTGGCCCATACCAAATGCCTAATGAGCATGAAAAAAAGAGCAGGGACCATTTTTTCTTTTATTTATTTATTAGCATGTTATAGTTGCACTGGGAGTAGGGACCATTTTTAAATGATGCCATTAATTAAGAAAGTGCTATGAAACTGGAGGTTAAATAGTCTAAGAAGATTCACAAAAATGTTGTTTTACTTAAAACATTGTATTAACATTTTAGGGAACTAGTGATATGTGGTTGTCCGAAATCTCTCTAGAATATATGGGGACAGCCTCCATCTTCTCAATGGTTTCTATCTCTAAAGATTGTCAACTGAAATACATGTTCTTACAGAAATAATGCTATGAATAGTGATTAGTTTCCCAGACTAGCATACAAAAATAGATGAAATACTGTACATATGTAATAAAAATAGTAAAAAGAAAATCCAAAACAAAACAAAATGAACTCCCCTCCCCCCCCACCAAAACCAAAAAACTAAGGAAACATAAGTTAAAAAACACATTTAAAATACATTACATTTGCAAAAGGAGTAAGTTCTAGAGATTTGCTGTATGATGTTGTGTTTAAGATTAACAACACTACTGTCTACTTGAAAATTTGTTATGAGGGTAGATCTCATGTTAAGTGTTTTTAGCCCAATAAAAATATGTAACATTTAAAAAGATGTTAATGACATAATATTGGCGATCAAGAAAAGTGTTAAAAAAAGCTAAATGAATAATAAAAAGATTTAAAAAAAATCTTAAATCTTTTTTAAAGAAAAGCAAATTCAATTCAAGACTCTATAAACTGATGGTATCACCACTTTATAATGTATGACTTCACAACAAATGACATGTTTTACCTTTGCCTTGACCAAGGACTATTACTGACACTTCTTCCAACATTTTCAGATATGATTAGAACTAGTTTCTATTTACACAACTTAAGAAATATATGTTTATTATTACTCACAAAGCAATAAACATGCTCCCCAAATTAGAGACTTTTGATTTTTGACCTGGTCTTACTATGCCAAGTATAGTTCCCTAGATAGTTTCTTTCTTTTAGAGAAAACATATAATCCATGCAAATATTTATATATATATATATATATATATATATATATATATATATATATGTATATATAGTGCTGGGAATGGAATCCAGGGCTTCATGTATGCTAGGCACATGCTTTACCACTGAGCCACATGCCCAGCCTCATGTGGCAGTGTAGTTTCTTGAGGACTTGTGTCAGAATCAGCTGGGGCACTTATGAAGCAGATTCCTGACCCCCCCCTCCAGACTGACTGCATCACAATTTGTGATGAGGTCTACAAATCTGTGCTTTAATAAATTCCTTGGTAGTTATAAATCTTTTACCCAGTGCTAACTTTTAAGAGTAATAATAGTACTCCAGGTTGAACATCCTTAATCTGAACATCCAAAACCTGAAATGTTACAAAATCCCAAACTTTTTGAGTGCTGATTTGATTCTACAAGTGGAAAATTCCACATCTGACCTCACTTAAGGTGTCAAACTAAAAATCCAGGTGCACTAAACCTTCTGTATAAAATTTCCTTCAGGCTACGTGTATATGGAACATAAGTTAATTTAGTGTTTAGACTTGGGTCCCATCACCAAGGTAACTCCTTATGTATATACAAATATCCCCAAAATTGAAAAAAAAATCTGAAACACAAGCATTTCAGCTAAGGGCTACTCAACCTGTGTTACTAACAATAATTGCTACTTCTATTGAGCACTTAGCGGATGCTGGTTACTAGTCTAAGCTCTTAACATCTTAACATATGTCATGAGGCTGGTACTGCTATGATTCCCACTTTACAGATGAGGAACCTGAAACAGTGGTAAAATGAGCAGCACTGTTCTAGCCTTACAATGATTTCATAGGTGGCATGAAGGTGCCCGGAGTCTCAGTACTTGCAAGGTCCTACTGGAAAGAAGGTGTTCAGACCAAATTGTCTTCAACTCCTTTGGTCTGGCCTTACGTATTTCAATCACAGATTTACCTAAAGTTCTGTGGAACTGGTGGGAGGATGAGGGGAGGTGGGATGCTTGATATGAAAGGCAGATACAGTGAGAGGGAACTGAAAGAAGGGGCCTTCTGCCTGAGGCAGGGACATTGGGCTCTGTCTCCCAGCTCTCAGAAGAGTACAAAAACTGGAGCTGTGTAGGCAGGCACTGGATGGAGAAGATGGTGTTGGGTAGTAGGACTACTACACTGAATCACAACTGCCTGCCCATTAGTAAAAAGGGCAAGGGAGAACTGAAGCAGGAAGGGCTGGGGGAAGGCATTTATTTTGTCACCACGAGAGAGAAGTGACTCCTTGTTGGCTCATCACACACCCACTCACCCACCAATCTGTCTACCCATCCTACAGTTACTGACATCCTACTGTGTACAAGGCAGTGGAGTTCTACTTACTGAGGTTTCAGAGATGAAAAAGAGCCCACAGACATATCTAACCAAAGGGCTAGAAACTTAGGATGGCTTGATCTTTTTGGGGACCTGGGAAAGTTTTGTCCCCAACTGTATCAACTGGAACCAATCTCAGTAGGGAGCTCTAAGTTGAGACTATCTGGATCACATGTATAATGTGCCAACTTTTACTCCCCTCTCAATTTCTGTGACTGTATTTTTTGCCTTAGAGATTCAAAATATTTTAGTGATACTTATAACAATATGAGGCATTTGGGAAATGTGGCAAAGCAGGAAAGTTCAAGTGGGATGTAACATCAAAATGTTTGAAAACAGTAGTAAAAACCACGGTGTTTTTGGAGTTCTCATTCTCAGGGGTCATCTTCATACTGTCTGTTGCCAACAGGCTGATATGCAGGACTTGAAGTTCAAATCTAGGGAGAGTTTTGCCAAGGTCAGGGGCAAGTGAGAGGTGATCGTTTCATTGAGAATGAAGGAAGGTTGCAACTTATCTTTATTAACCTTTACCCCTTTCCCTGACTCCATCTGTATTAAGAATACATGTGTATAATAGAAAACTTGAGACCTTAGTTGTCCTGGGACTTTTTTTTTTTTTTTTGTGGGACGAGGGTTTGAACTCAGCGCTTTACACTTGCAAAGCAGGCATTCCACCACTTGAGTCAAACCTGCAGTCCGTTTTGCTCTGGTTATTTTAGAGATGGGGTCTTGTGAACTATTTGCCTGGGCTGGTCTTGAGCAGCGATTCTCCCAGTCTCAGCCTCCTAAGTAGCTAGGATTATAGGTGTGGGCTAGCAGTGTCCAGCTTGTATAGGACTTTTTAACCCAAAGAAGTCAGTGGCACCAAGTCTGCTAAGCAGCTGTTCGTGCATCCTTTCAGGGCTTGCTGAACAACAGTCAAAATGGTCCTTTCACATTCACCCCAGGACCTCATTCTGTCTGCCTGGTGAGGCAGAAGCCTGAGATTTGTAGGAGTCCAGGACTGAGAAGAGCAAGAATTTGATATTGCCCTTTCCTCCTCCTTGTGCAGGAGGGAAAGGGAACTGTGCACTCCTTTACCCAACGCGAAGATGGGGAATGATCCAGAACAAACTGCACCACAGCTGGAGGTGCCAGCAGGAAGAGCTTGCTGCCTCCTTCTCTGGAGGGTGCCTGCTGACTTGCAACACCTTACAGGTCCACCTTGGTGCACAGCAGGATCTCTGAATGAGAGAGTCCTTGAGTTGGTTTGACACGTGGAATTTTAGGTCCTAAGTGAGAAAAAGGTGGCTGTCTGCTCTTTTGTGGTTGGAGGTTGCCTGGGACAGTCCACACTTGTACTATATAGACTGGGGCAAGAACATTTTTCATGCATCAAGGAGCTAGATGCCTCAGAAGGTAACCTAGCTGGAGCCATCTTGATAGAGCCCTGCCCAAAAGGACTGTCTGCAAAGAACAAGAGGTTCCAGTAATAGGGGACTGTGGGGTAACACCTGGGGGCAGGAGCCAAGAGGGTGCTGCTGAGGCCAGCTGCAGAACACATAGAAAGTGTCACAGCCACAAGTTTGCAGCCTGGGACAGCACCAACACTGGGATGGATGCCTGCCACACC